TTGCAAAGCAAGTTATTTCGATATACCTAGAAACATATATCTTAAATTAATGAAAATACATTTTTATTTTATAATTATATTATATATATATATAAATTTTTAATTTTATTTAAATATGTAATTGCTATTTTTTTTGATTTGCTCGGCGTTAGATTTGTGGGGAGAAACAATCTTTACAACGAATTTATAAAGAAGGCACATCAGAAAATTGCAGAAATCTTGTTATGCAACTTAATCAAGACAGAAAGGAACAAACTGACCCTTTAGAGAGCTCATTTTTAGATTCCGGCTGTAATAATCCCGACGCTGAAGTGTATTTAATCCCAGAAGATGCAACAATTTTTTCCAAAAAAATCATCTGGTTATCATCACCACTCAGAATACTCTAAAAGGTGATTTAGTATAAGTTTAATATTACCTTAGCGTAAAAATTACATTTCAAAATAGTTGTAGTAGATGGGTCAAATATTTGTGACCAAAGCTCTAAAAATTGTTTTTTAGGCATGCTATATTGTTGAAGTTATTACGATCTACAATACAGTTACCGTTGCTGCATGAACATATTAGGGAATAATTTTTTTATTACCTTTAATTTAAAAGTCGAAGCCGTTTGAGTAATTAAGAATTTTTTGTAGACTAAAGTTTATTGTTTAAAACATCACATTTAAGATTTTTTTTATTTATTCATTCTGTTTGGTTTTTAAAAGATTTACAAATTCTGTACTACAGTTAGGGGTTATCAAGGGATTTATGTAGTTGATTAATCAGTTTATAGTTTTTTGTATTTTGAAGCTTAAAAACAGAAGCTCTGACCTTGAAAATTGTAAATACAAGTCGAGTTCTCTTCTATGATATGCTCTATTTATCTACCCTTGCTGGTAGCGTAAATTTAAAATTGGTCTTAGTTTAATTAACACACGCTACTCGGGGTGTACAGTTAGAGGTTTAGTTATATCATTTATCTTATTGCTGATTATTTATATCATATTTAAAATATCTATCAACTCAATTTTGGACAGGAGGTCTTTTACGAAACTTCTAGTTATAATTAAGATTTATGAAAGCCTTTTAAAAAAATTTTATGAAACGGAATTTTTAACATACTAAAAATGTATTACGTGAAAAAGCGTTAAAGTTAAATGTTCACAAAAAAAATTAAATTATAACTTACAAAAACGAAATATATTATTTAATTTCAAGACAATGCGTACAAAGTAAAGCGAATTTGCATGAATTTCAAATATTAAAACAATGAAAACGTAAGTTAAGGCCTTTTATGTCTTTTTTCACTTTACTTTTCGTTTGTTACTAACTATTATTGATTTAAAAAAGATAGTTTTTTTGTTAAGGTAGTACCAACTGATGTCATTTATTTTCATATTTATTTATTATCGATACCATACTTAAAACACAGAGCGTCCCTTTTCTACGTAATCTTTTTCCTCTGATTGGATAAGAAGAGCAGTGAAGAAGGAGATCAGTCTATCTTGTAAAATATTGCTTTTCACGGTTTGTACCAGTCCGTCGGCCGATAGTATGAAGAAAGTTGTAGACAACAACAAAAAAAAAACATCTAAAAAAATTAAAAAAAAGTAAGTAAACAAATGTAATATAAATTAGTTATATTCTATATACATTTCTTGAAGTATAATAAATAATTACTTTGACCTTAGCATGTTAAAAGGAAAACAGTATTGTTTCTGTTTACGTTCTATTAAAACAAAAGGTTTTTGCCATCCTCTCAAAATTGGTAGGTAGTGTATGTTAAAAAAAGTTAAGCTTTTCTACACAACTTTTTTGCTTCTTTTCAAAGAAACTTTGCAGTATTTCTTGGTTAAAGCATCTCATGACTGTTTTTGCAGTTTTCCTGCAAAGAGCCGTTACTGTTCTGGTAATTTGGAATTTTCGGGGTGGTTATGTGTGTTCAATTTCTAAGTTTTTTTTTTGCTAAGCGAGGCTTTTATCTAGTTTATAGCAGTAGCTGGTGCTTCTTACTCTTAAAATATGCGCAAGTTATGGACGCCATGTATTTTGGGCGGTTATATATGTGGTGTAAACTATAAGAATTTATATTAAGTATAATTTGTCTGTAATATTGGGATAATGTTTATGAAATCTTGCATAAAGAATGTTTCGTATTCTTTTAAATTATTCTTTTAAATTTTGATATAAACCTAGTCTTCTTTGAAATTTTTTTAACTATGACTTTGCAATGCTAAACAATTGACGTATTTAAGTTTAAAGAAATTAGTTATTATCTTTAAATTATGCACTACTAGAACATTCAGATTTGTTAAACGTACACTGCATCTATTATCAACTATATGACGCTTTCCATAAACTCCGTAAAAAATCTAGTTGGTATAGTTCCGTTATACCAGCAATAGTATGAATTAAAAATTTTAAGGTGCGACAATATTTACTATGCTTTGACTTTTTACTTTTTGTCCTACTTTTTGCCCCTTTGTGTTCTCCTCAGGTTGCGGTTATTTATTTTACAAACAGTTTATAATATTTGTCATTTCTGGTAAATTTTATTTTGGTTATATTTCTCTATCATTAACTATTATTGGTTTTTTTTACATATATCAGATATTTAGTAATTAAATATTATTTAAATTTGCAAAAGTTCTGCCTATTTTGAAAGATTTGTAAATGATCTTTAGTGTAAGCTATATTTAGTTTTAGTCAAAAGTACTGCCGGTAGAGTATTTATTACTATTATTATTTGGTTAGATTTACAACTTAACAATAAACAATTGAACGTTCTTACTATTAAAATTAAATATTCGAGAAAATTTATTTTACTCTTTTTTGGTAAAAGATGTGGTTAAAAAGTTTAATTATCAAAGATTTTCAACATAGTGCAAATCAAAAACTTTGAAGGATATGTCAAAGATTGAGCGCCGGGCCATCGATTAAGAATGCAGTTTAGGGACAAAGAAGCCATTTAGTGATAAAGTGGCTACGCTCTATTTAATTCTTTAATATTCAGATGACAGAATGTTGAAGCAGTTTGAATATCGTATAGTATATCCAAAATTATAAAAGTATCAATTGCTGCTTTTATAAAGCTCAGCTGTGAAACTGGCAGCTGAGGTAAAAAAAAAAAATTAGTTTGCAATTGTTTGGAAAAACTTAAGAAAAATACTTTATATGGAAACGCGAGATAAAATGAAAGAGCAATGCAAACCACTTCAAAGCAAAAATAAGGAGATTTTGAAGCTCGTAACTGCATCTCGGAAAGCGTGGGAGCGGGCGCAGAGGCTGGAATCGCGCAAAAATATCTTAGCAGTGAAAAAAGAACATCTAAGAGAAGTAGTTGTAATAAATTTTAAGAGATTTTTATAAGGGGGTTTGCCTGCAGGGAAAAAATAGTACAGCCTTCACGCATATTAAGTTTCCCTAACGGATTCCCCGGCTTGATCTCCACTGATGTCGCGCGGTAAAACATTATAAGGCAGCAAAGAGAGAGGGAAATACTCAAGTAGTTACTAAATATCTGATATATGTAAAAAAAACCAATAATAGTTAATGATAGAGAAATATAACCAAAATAAAATTTACCAGAAATGACAAATATTATAAACTGTTTGTAAAATAAATAACCGCAACCTGAGGAGAACACAAAGGGGCAAAAAGTAGGACAAAAAGTAAAAAGTCAAAGCATAGTAAATATTGTCGCACCTTAAAATTTTTAATTCATACTATTGCTGGTATAACGGAACTATACCAACTAGATTTTTTACGGAGTTTATGGAAAGCGTCATATAGTTGATAATAGATGCAGTGTACGTTTAACAAATCTGAATGTTCTAGTAGTGCATAATTTAAAGATAATAACTAATTTCTTTAAACTTAAATACGTCAATTGTTTAGCATTGCAAAGTCATAGTTAAAAAAATTTCAAAGAAGACTAGGTTTATATCAAAATTTAAAAGAATAATTTAAAAGAATACGAAACATTCTTTATGCAAGATTTCATAAACATTATCCCAATATTACAGACAAATTATACTTAATATAAATTCTTATAGTTTACACCACATATATAACCGCCCAAAATACATGGCGTCCATAACTTGCGCATATTTTAAGAGTAAGAAGCACCAGCTACTGCTATAAACTAGATAAAAGCCTCGCTTAGCAAAAAAAAAACTTAGAAATTGAACACACATAACCACCCCGAAAATTCCAAATTACCAGAACAGTAACGGCTCTTTGCAGGAAAACTGCAAAAACAGTCATGAGATGCTTTAACCAAGAAATACTGCAAAGTTTCTTTGAAAAGAAGCAAAAAAGTTGTGTAGAAAAGCTTAACTTTTTTTAACATACACTACCTACCAATTTTGAGAGGATGGCAAAAACCTTTTGTTTTAATAGAACGTAAACAGAGACAAAAAGGCGTTACAGCTGGTTTTTGTCGAAAAAGATTGTCTACCTCGCACTCACCACCGAGATAGGAAACGTATAGTCGAAAAACTGATATAAACCGTATCCTTCGTACAAATCTCGAGTAAAGTCGAAATAAAGGGCTACCCTTAATAAAAAAAAAAATGGTAAAAATAAAGATAAAAGGAAAGTTATAAACGTAAGTATAACAAAGTTATTAATTATGAACAAGTTAGGTGATAACAGCTTAAAAAGAAAAAATTTAGCGAGAACCCCGAACATATGGAATAAAAGGTAACAAACAACAGAATTCTAACAATTCTTCTTTGTTATAACGGGGACCTGTAAAATTTTTGAAGTCCACCTATTAGAAGTTCAGAAAATAACTACCGTCACCAGCTAATCCCAGAGAGAACATTTAGTTAAACAGAAAACATGATTAGAATTACTAAACTATTAACAAGATATAAAAGAGTCGAAAGGTTAAACTAAGTTTACAACAATCACATAGTGACAAGGAGAGGGAGCCGGTAGAAACTGCCATTGGGATTCTCCGCAAGCCTCAAATATAACCCCTTGATCTCAATAGTATTGGTATTGGCTTTAGAGTTGTGTTTTTTGAGGCAGAAGATAAGCGTATTATAACAGTAATGATTTATAAGGATGGAGGCGAACCTTTACCCCTCTAAGTAACGCTTTTTACTCCACTCATTTAAAAATAAAAATTAAGTTTTTAAAATAGCACCTAAGAACTATACCGTAAATGGGAGGAGTTAGCTCCATTGACTGCAACACAGATAGTTTCTGTTTCGGCTTTAGCTGAATGATATAATGCACTTATCTATTAGTTTTCTCTTGAACTTAGCGAAGTTATATTATTTTTAGACATCAACAGAAGACGGTTTCGGTCATTCTAATACTAAAGATAACGAAGACGTTACTCTGCCACCCATTAATTCTGTGGAAGGGTTTTAAATTTTTCTTTGGCCTTGAGAAAAAGCTGGAAGTGAAAAATGATTCTGCTTTGAGGTTATTTAGAATAATTTCGTTTAAAGCTAAAATTTTTTATAATTATAGTAGATGATAACAAAAGTTTAATTTTAGTTGGTTTTAGAAGGAGTAAAAGGCCTTTGTATACAGTTTGGTTTTTCTATTATGTGTTATGATAATTTTATGTAGCTCTCAACTGTTCAACCCAAAAGTTAATATTTGAGCTTATTAAACAAAGTATATACCTTGCGCAAACCTGGTCTATATAAAAGCTTTCCTTCACTCATTAACTTCAATTATGAAGTCTTGGAAGGAAATTGAATCCGCTTTGGTGTCCCTTGAACGTCTTCATAAGCAATGCAGATTAGTGAGGTATAGCTGGTCTACTTAGTAATATTATGTTCATCCTTTTTTTGTTTAACTTTTTTAGCACCAAAACTAACGGGCTCCATTCGGATTGCACGCTACTAATGGAAGAGCAGTCCGCTCTAAAAGCTCACGCAGACCAAATTTTATCATGCCTTCAATTTATTTAGAACCAGAAAAAGCTACTATTTATCTTCATTCTACGTCTGTAGTTGTTTTTTCTCCCTCTTTTATCACTTTGTTAAGAAAGCTCGACGACTCTATATTGTTTTTGACCCAAAAGGTCTTTAATATTTTTTTACTGCGTTTCTTGTGTCACTTTTTAAAGTTGCCTAACTTTTTAAGGGTTACTATAAAGATGCTAAGCTGTATTTAGCAAAGTTTCAGCGCATTCTCCACCAAGTTCTACTGCTTCTGAAAGTAGACGTACCAAAAAGCTGTAAATGTGCGTCTTACAACTCACATTTACGTTTACAAGTGACTTCGACTCTTTATTATAAATGTGGCGAGCACAAATATATTTTGTCACAGGAAAATGAACTTTTTTTTGTCTGTAAGGAGCTTTTAAAGCGAACTCTCTCATTAAAGGTTTAATGGAAGAACTCTACTTAAAACGGCAACAGCAGGCAAAGTGCATTTCATAATATTTTTGACTTCCCTCGGAGCGCTAACCGACTTATTTAAGCTACTTTGAAGTTTTCTTCGGTTGCGAGACTTGCTACATTCGGCAGTGTCGCGCACTTCTTTTTAAAGTAATAAACAAAAAATTCGCGTCTATAGATTACAGAAGACCCGAGCTCATCGCCCCCTACGTAGATCTTTTGGAGGAAAGCAGTTTTAGCTGGGGCCCGTTATATAACGTAATTCTCTTATCAGGTACTTCAGTGTTGCTCATTTACGCTTAGAATATATCAGCAGGAAGTCGAGCTGTATGACCTTTTTTTCCCAGCTTATACCCAACTTCTCTCTTAAAGCTCTACTTTCTATTAATAGTTCATTTATTTTATAAAGTTCGATTATATTATGTAGTGAGTACCTTGAAGACTTATTAGAAAACTTATATAACCATCTACGACCAAAAATAATCAAAGTTATCGTCATAGAAACGCTAGCTGAACTATGCGAAGTGCTGAGCTCAGAATTTTTAGACTTAAAAAAAAAGTAATGACCAAGTAGCGGTATTTGTAGGTTTACTATAAACCTAATTAGGTCTCCCTTTTGTAAGCTTTAATGCGACCATTCGTGAGCTGATTCAAGATGTACAAACGTCTAATAACTCTTGCCCATGTATCTTGCTTGCCGTTTTCGAAAAGGCGGCAAAAATAGTTTGTTTCCCAGATCTTTATTATAAAGGACATAGTAAATTTTAATCCAAAACCGGAAGATTTGGACGTCCCAGCTAAAATGACTACCGGTGCATTTCGCGGGACCAATATACTATGCTTACCACTATTATTTTTTAACAGGGGAACGTTACGATCGGTAGTGCAAGCCGTTGCAGAAAACGCTTGCCTTTTTGGCTATACGATCTACCGTTGAGTTGACGTGAGATCTTTGCAAAAATTTTGTGCTTTAGGCATATTTTATCCCATACCGTATGTAATTTTTAGAGATCTTGCTAGTGAGGCTATCAGCGATGCTTTAGATGCCCACAAAATTTAAGCAATCTGGTTCAAAAAGATTACTGCTGACTTTGATTTTTTTCGTGTACGCGTTATAAAATACTATTACTTAGTCAGAACTGGACGCACACTTGTTTCTCCTTGTGCACCTGCTGCTTCTGAAAGAGCAATTAATGCCCTTCGACATCGATTCAACCTGGCAAAGGGAAGCCATAGCAGAAAAAGGGATATTTGTTTCTTGAGTTCTACATGTAGTGGAGTAGAGCAAGGATGATCTGCTAGCAGACCGGGAAGCTCCCGCGTCTTACGATCTTCTTCAGCTTTTTACAAGAGGTGGACCGCTTGTATCTGTACCTTTTTCTCCTCCTAAGGAGGTCACCAAGATTTTCTGTTTTGTAAGTTATACTAAACGTTTTTTTATTGAAGCAGAAAGTCGAACAGCACTTCGAAGTTGCTTACGTCGCTTTTCTGCAATTTTCTGATTAATATTTCACTTAACTCCTGCGTAATTCCGTTGAAAAGGTGTATGAAATCAACTTTCTGCCGTAGCTTTTAACTAATTCCTTCCCGTGATTTATATAACTACCTTTCCGAAGAGTTTCTCAAATCGTACGGACGTTCTTATCTAGACGAACTCCAAGCTAAAAATAAGTTATTCTGTGAGTGCCTGCATCTCTACTTGGGCGAAGTAAAGGAAGAGAGGAGCTCTACGCTGTAGTTAAAGCACAATAACTATAAACTAAAAGCACTGTTTTAATATTATGATTCGACTAGAAAAAAGTTTTTGATTATCTAATCTTCTGCCAGAATAATTTAAGCAGCTTTGACTTTTCGGAACATTACAATTCAATTCCTTGAATCCTTATTTATGACTTATAAAAAAATATATGACTGTCCGTAGAGACTTTTCCTTACTTAGCAACTTTAAAGAAAACGTTTCGAAGTATAATAAAAAAGTGCAATGGTTAAAATAAAAGTTTATTATAGCATATTGCTTTTATAATTAAGTGCTTTTGAAAAGAGTCTGTGGACTTTGTACCTTTCGCAGTCTCTGCACATGAGTGTAAGGGAATTAAGTGCAGTGACCCCAAAGATTCCTGTCCCTTCGGAATTTTTAGTAAGCCCGTAGAGAAGAGTCAGTGTTTCTTCGCACCACTTTAATAATCTGCCTGGCTTCTTTCCATATGAAGTCCCAACTGCAGTGCATAACATTTCGTAAGCTGTTTTCGAGAGCGCTAAAATTTCTTTACGGGTCTGAACATCGTAAATTAACTCGCGAGCAGTACAAGGGGTAGAGATGCCCCTTTGAAAGTAGTATTGCTTGAGAAAGGGAAAGAAAGTCTGCTCCAGGTAAATATCGTAGGTAAGAATTCGAAGAAGTGCTATTTGGATGAAGAAACTGTTGAATATACTACATTCATCATTAGCGAAAAACGTTTCACATATAAGAGAAATTTTTTTAAACGTTGGGGAAGCCTTAAATTTTTCAATAGAGGGCCCTTCGGGGATGTGTTCCACTTTATGTAAGTTTTCTTTAATGCGACGATAACCATCTAAAAAAGAATGCTCTTTTAAGCGATCAAAGAAAAAGACTAAAAAAATTAAGTCTGCTGCTTCTTCTTCTCCGAGTTTAAACTTACTAAAGTTTTTTAGAACCAGGAATATATAGTAAGAATCACAAGCTGTACGATAACCAGAAATGAGACTTAATTTAAAAATAAACGTACATATTAAAAGAGACAACGGAACTTTTTCTTTCAACAAGTTTTTAATAAAATAAACCGCCATCGGCCAGTTCCTTTCGTAGTAACAAACTTTAAACAATAATTCGTAAAAGTGAGCTTTATTAGAAACTCCTTTGTAATAAAGAGCTTCTAGTACTAAGGCTACTCTATGACTTGAAGGATACGCTTCGCATGCCTTTTGCATAAGAGAGATGGTAATTTCATTTATAACCAAATGGTCGTTTTCGGGGATAAAAAGTTGTTTAATTAACCAAAAGGACAACTCGGGACACCTTAAATTAGCAACAAAAAGATAAGCATTGAAATCTTCTATAGATGGAATCAATTTCTTGTTTTGTTTATAAAACGGACTTTTTTCTGTAGTTCGAAGTGGAGTTGCCAAGTTGTTCCACTCTCCTAAACAATTCAGGTCGCGATTTTTGGTTATTAGAGACAATTTAGCTTGTAACAAAGTTGAAAGGTACTTTGGAGTTGCATCTTTTTGATGACATGCACTAAAGTATTCATCGTTTCGCAACTTATATAAAATATTTGATATATTTATATTATTGCTGAGGTAGCCAGAGTATTTCTTCTCAAAGCTAGAATAAGAATTACTGAGGACTTCGGAGTTTTTCTCTGTCAACAGGACACAAGTTTCAAAATTTAAATCTTCTGAAGTGCACGTATGATTAACTTCCTTTTTTTCCAATAAATAAAGTAATTTCTTGGTAAGCTCACTGTGCTCAGGAGGAATATTGGGTGAGGTGATGGAAATTTTTCTTTTCCTTTGAAAGTAATAGGAACTCTTGGAAGTAAAGACAAACCAAGTATCAAAAAAAGAGTAGTGACGGGCTTTTATAAGTGTATTAGTCCGATGAAAGGACGCATACAAGTCCATGACTAGTGGAGGGAGTACTGCGTACACATCTTACATCGTATGAATCTTCCATACAAGCCTGTGTACCACGTAGCGTTTCCACTTCTCGCACGTACCTCGGCCAAATTAGTAGTCCATCAAAACTAGATAATAAACATTAACCCCGCCTTTTTTCTTGTACTCTTCCAGTACGGTACCTCACATATTTTTCTTATCGATTTTCTAATAGCGATCCTAAAGAATTTTGTAACAAGGCTGTACTTTTCTTTTCTTTATATTTTATTTCTTCATTTTAGTACATACTAGTTTTTTTTAAATAAAATTAAATTATCACTCGTAAAGAATACATTATTAACTTATGAGCTGTTTTTCTCATAAACTACAGTTTTTATCGGTAGTACTTATACATTTGGACTAACAGGAAATTAATGTACCTGCTTTTTAAAAATGCAACTTTATGTCTTGTAAAAGGAAGCGGTTGCAGGACCCCAAAACCATTTATATTCATTTCCCAAAAAACTCTTAGCACTTTTCATATCTATACTCAAGTCAGTTATTATTGTTAAAGTTAACACTGAGAAGCCGGCAATATACGAAATATAAATGGACCTAAAAACTATAAAGAAAATTATTTAACCTTTGTTTTTCAAAACATAAGTTGAAATTAAAGGAAACTTTAGTATAGTTCCCTCTATAACTTCCACATTCCGGGCTATACCATTTTTACTTATGAGCTTAAAAATATTAACTAAAGTTTCGGGTCAAAATTTATATAGCAAAAATTCTTTGAAAGAGATATTTATTTAAAAAGATTACTGGGAAAAGAAAGTAAAACGGTTTTTAAAGAAAACAAATTATTCAAAAAAGTGCATCAAAAGGGCTATAAAAGGTAGTTAAAATCTTCAAACTAGTTTTGGTCCTTTTATAACTTCTTTATTATATAAACTCAGTTATCATCATTTTGTAAAACTTTTTACAAGATACACTAATATTTGACAAGAAGTTCTTGAAGACTTAAAAGTAAGACGCACCGAGTGTTTCTTGTATCCTACTGAGAACAATAAAACTTTGGTAAAATATTTTCCCGTAACGGCTAAATAAATAGTTTTGTCTTAACAGTAAACACGCCCTCCACAGTATAGTTATTCGTAGACTTACGTTTTAGTTTATGCCCGGCGATAAGCAATATAATAAATTTTTTCCCCCTATTTATTCCCGCATCCTTTGGTGCAGTCGCTATAGAGTAATACACCACGCATCTTTCCTAGCGCACTGGGAACCGTTTTTCAGAGATTAGTGCTGTAAGATTCAAGCACTTTTTAAAAGTTGTAATGTTTTGCAAGGAAAATAATTATCTTTATGGTAGTAGTGATGCACAACATGATAATTTACTACCTACTACTGAAGAGCTTTTAGGTTTTATTATATGACATAAAAGTTTTTTGTGAATATCACGTTTAAATTTAAGTTTGGTATTGTTTAAATTTCAAGTCTTTGAGTATTCCTTATATTTTTTTTAACGTTTGCTTGTCAATATAGAAATTTTAAATAGTAAGAAAAATAGACAGTTAACAACTTTATCGGCGCAAGATTGGGCTTTAATTAAAAGAAATCTTTATGATTCTCCTCTGGGAAAACAAGGTGTACTCAGTTTTGAGTTATTAATGCTGTAATATACCATTACCAAAAAACTTCATAGTTAAAAAATTTAAGTATTTAAAATATTTAAGCTTTGCAATATATTTTTTCCTCTCTTGCAATTTTCCGAAACTCCAATTGTACTTATAATAATCCGCTTTGCGCACCGTAAAGCACTTTATGTTTTAAAACCCTATCTACTTTTAAAATTTTATGCAAGTTAACTTTTGTAAAATCTGGTGCTAATAAAAATTTTACTTTTAAAGCGGTTTTATAAATATGTTTTATTTTATTTTATTATAGTTTCCTTGGAAACCTCCTTACGTCAGTATTTGGATCTTGTATATGTTTTCAGCCAAGATCTTTGTGAAAGAGAAATAGCAGCAGCTTTCCTTTTTAATATTCTTTGGCCTACCTGCTGTTTATTGAAAAAATCTTTAAACGACTGTAACTTAAGTGAGAGGTTAGATCTCCGTGAAATTTGGGTTTCTAATATTTTTGTGAAAACTGCTTTAGAACACGTTATCTTCTCTTTTGGTAAACCTACCTTCTATTATAATCAGTAAACCGACTACTACTATTTTTATGCGCAGGGAATAAAAATATTACTGAGAGACTTTTTATTAAAGTTTTTCAACAGGTATATGAGTTTTACTCTCTAGCAAACTCTGTACTTCCTAGCATGTTTTCGGACTATAAAAACAAATCTTTTATATGTTGCCGTCGTTATGGTAAAATATTACTTTCTTAATTATCTTATTCAATTTTTTATATATATAAAACAGCAGAGTCCATCGAGTCGTACGTGGATCGCTCCGCTTCCACTTCGAGAAAACAAATTCTTGTTCTTTTATCGAAAGAAGAGATTCGGCGTCTACAGGCAAGCCGTTTTAATACAGTAGCCGAAAGCTTTTTGAAAAGCCCTAATGGTTGCATTATCCGGTTTTCCAATAATTTTCTTATAAAAATTTCTGAAAGAAAGCAAAGCTAGCAATAGTTTAGAATGTGTTGCTGGTGCGGAAGTAGGACTTGAGGTTTTTGATTCTAATTGGTTGGCCAGGCGGTGAGCTTTTCTACTGTTTCAGCAGCTTACAGAAGTGAATTATAAATTTTTGCTCCATAGTTGCGCGCTGTACGCCCACCAGAGCAACTCTGAACACTCTCCTCACGATTTGACAGTAGCCGTGTACAAGATACTACAAACGCAAGACGTCATTTGTGCACAGGTCGCTTTATTGTCCCTTATATTTGTCCTTTTTTTGTCCCCGAACGCGTATTTTATCGCAGAGTATACTTGTGGACATGCTTGGCCTTTCAGCACTTGACTTCATATCAAATATTTTGCAGAAAAGGGACGACATCCTCCGAATAACTAAGAAGGCTTTAAAGGGAGTAGTGCGTCTTTTTGCTTTAACTAATCAACGCTCTTGTTTCTTCCGCTGTTTTTCTGCAGCGAGCATACAGACAACTTGCATTACAACGGGAAGCAGCGAATCCTACTTCTACCATTATCGGCGTGGTAGGCTCCCCCCTCCCCTCTTTACTCTGAGATTTAAAAACTATATACATGAAGACCATCAAAAGCAAAAGAGAGCATCTCATGCCGAAGCATTTAAAAAAAACCAATAGGCTGCATGTGCGCTTGCTTGCTTGCCATGTGGTCGTTAAACGATTTTTTCATCTTTCTTCTCTACAAAAAAGCAGGGAGTCGCTCTAAGCGGAGACCGCGACTTCGAGCTCAAAGCTGCATTGGGGTTGGATAACAGTTTTAATGCGGACTACCTCTCCAAGTACACGCGTGGTGAGGGCCAACAAGCAATTTTCTGATCAGGCTTTGTAGCTATTATTATTATTATCAGGACATAGTAGGCGGCAAAGACCCCAAACACCCAAGTATCCCCACGTTTATGATGAGAGGCTCCACGGGACAGAGTTGGCCGCCTACGTTGGAAGTTAACTGCCTTAACATGTGTTATGTGCTGCTTTATCCACTTTCGTTTCTAAGGTTCTAAGCTAAGCTTACCAGCCAATGCAGAACGAGTACAAACAAACCTTTACGAGTCCATAACCATTCCAGCGCCTGCGGCGGGTTATTTTTTTTCATGAGTGAGTCGTCACCCTTTTTTTCACAAATATTATTTAAGCACCCCCAGAAAGCTTTGAGTTCCCTATAAGCATCGAGGCTCTTTCTCCGCTCTCCCAACTTGTATTTAAAGGAATCAAAGAACTAAATAGGATTCAGTCTATAGTCTACCCTGCAGGTCGGGTGGTTTCTCTGATGTCCCAATTACGTGACACCACTGTTTGCTAAGCTTACTACAGTAACGAGAACTTGCTGATATGCGCTCCCACAGGCGCAGGTAAAACGAACATTGCTCTCATGGCCATTGTGCGCGCGATAGAGCAAAATATGGTTTTATCTATCATTTTTTTTTTCGCCGTTTCGTTTAGCGAATTGTTATACGCTTAACAGGTTAATGAAGTTGTCCAACTTAAAACTTTTAAAATAGTTTACGTGGCGCCAATGAAAGTATATTTTTTTTCCTCTATTTTTTTTTTTGAGAAGTTAAAGGCATTTCTTACATAAAAGGCACTGGCTTCTGAAATGACTCAGAATTTTGGTCGGAGATTAACGCCGCTGGGTGTCGCTGTCCGCGAGTTAACGGGTGACATGCAGCTTTCAAGAGCTGAGGTCAAAAATACACAGGTATATCGGCAGGCTCAAGAGGATTCCCTTATTTCCTTGCAGCTATTTATTTGGTAATTCGGTAGGTGATCGTAACCACCCCCGAAAAGTGGGATGTGATCACGCGAAAGAGCGTTGGGGACACTGAACTGTCCCAATTGGTGCGTTGCTTTATTGTATGCGACCCTCATCTCACTTTGCGCATGCTTAAACAGGTGCAACTGCTAATCATTGATGAGGTCCATCTTCTTCATGACGAGAGAGGATCCGTCGTAGAGGTGCCCTTAAAAGGCTTCACTGGTCACCTTTTCCGGAAACTCACCAGCACGTCCAGAGTTTAGTCGCGAGAACACTTCGACAGGTGGAAACAAGCCAGAGAATGGTCCGCCTCGTGGGATTGTCGGCGACGCTGCCAAATTACCTGGTTGTTACCGAGGCGATGCTGTTCTGTGTAGTAAATTCATTATATATATACAGGATGTGGCGCAGTTTCTCCGCGTTAACTTTTTCAAAGGCCTTTTTTTTTTTGACGGCCGGTTTCGTCCAGTGCCACTGACTCAAACTTTTGTCGGAGTCAAAGGTACGACCCTGTTCTTCTTCTGTTGACTTCTTTTTATCCACCGCCTTTTATTTTTCGTGGAGAAGGGAACAGCCCAACTCAAGTGAGTGACCATATGAATGAAGTTTGCTTCGAAAAGGTTCTAACTTGAGTTTATATAAAGAAGCGCGCTTATTGCTATGTAAACATTAGGTCCTCAAACACGTGGAAACAGGCGACCAGGTGATGGTTTTTGTCCATTCCCGAAACGACACTGTGAAGACCGCTGAAGCTTTACTGGAAAGAGCTCGAAATATCGGCAGGGAAGGTGGCGAACTCTGCTCTTCTACACTCATATCATGACGCACCATTGGTTTAGACGATTTTGCGCCCCCTGAATTGAGCACTTTCAGCAGGAAACTTCTTCTCAAGTCTCCCAATAGGACACTGCAGAACCTCGGTCCATGTGGCGTCGCCGTACATCATGCAGGTAACTTATTTAACCTTTTTTTTATTTCCGCTTCTCTCTAGCTCTACCGCTTTTGTGGCAGGCATGCTCCGTTCTGATCGCAACTTAGTGGAGAGGCTTTTTTCTGAGGGTGTCTGTCTTTGCTATCCTCCAGTGTGCCAGTTTAATAATGATGGCCCATCTCAAGGCCAAATTCGTGTTCTCTGCTGCACAGCCACGCTGGCGTGGGGCGTCAATCTTCCTGCGCATGCTGTGATTATTAAAGGTAGTGACCTTGCAAACTGCGCACAATGACTTGATGGCAATGCTCCACAGGAACTAGCCTCTACGATTCGCGGACAGGCGGCTTTCGAGACTTAGGGTAAAATATATGGCTAATATGTATCTGTTCAATAGGTAATATTGCTTGACACGGCAGCGTGCTGGACGTGCAGCAAATATTTGGACGCGCCGGCCGGCCTCAGTTTGATAGTTTTGGAGAAGCCTATATACTGACGCCCGTCAATAAGTTACCGCACTACATTACTGCTCTGACCACTCAGGTTTGCTTATTTGCTTTCATATCAAAATCCTTTCTAACATTTTTTCTTTACCAGACGCCCATTGAAAGTCAGTTCATTAAAAATCTCGCTGACCATCTAAATGCGGAAGTCTCGTTGGGGACCGTCGCCAATGTACCGCCACTATTGTGTTTACTTATACGGATCCATACGATTGCTTTGTGGGGGGGACTAGGTGGACGATGCCGTGCAGTGGCTTAGCTACACGTTTCTCTATGTACGGCTCAAAAGGAACCCCTTGAATTACGGCGTCACGTGGAGTGACGGGGAGCGTGACCCCACCTACGCTGTAAGTCACCTTTTTCCTTTATTATAACACTTGTAAGCTGCCCCGCCCACCTTTTAGGAGCCTCAAAGGAAGTGGATTTGCACGGCCGCGCAGCTTTTAGACGATGCAAGGATGGTTCGTTATAATTCTCATACAGGTGGGTCACCTTATTAGTGAAACCTCTCTGCTTTTGTGTACTTTTCCTTGTAAAAAGGGTTTCTTTCCCCCACGGATCTTGGTAGGATAGGGAGCCACTTTTACATCAGCGCCGCCAGCATTATGGTTTTTTCTCTGACTGGTCAGTGGGCACGTGTGTTAACTAGTGTGTGCAGCGCTTCAACGAGTTGTTTAAAGAACACATGAACACTGCTGAGATCTTGGGCTCGGTCTCCAAGTTTACCGAGTTTGCCAATATACAGGTGCTTTTTATCGGTGTAACTCCCACGTGGCTTGTGTAAATGTTGTGTTCCCTTTTTTAGCTTCGCAGGGAAGAAGAAGAGGAGCTGGATGAACTAAGGAAGGAGACGGTTATCGAGGCAGACGGAGGTAACATTTGCCTTCTTCCCGCCAGCAGTCAGACTACTCACGCTCGAGGTCTTCAGGTGTGGAGAGCACTCATGGCAAAGTCAACACTCTGCTGCAGTGTTACATAGGCAGAGTGCCTATTAGTGGCTTCTCGCTTGCGTCAGACACCGCGTACATAGCTCAGGTCAGACTGCCCTACTTCCACGAGTATTTTCACGTCCCTATTTACACTTCTAGAACTCTTCACGAATCCTGCGAGCCATTTTTGAGCTCTGCCTTCGAAGAAACCAGCCTATCGCTACACAGTTTTTAGAGCTTTCTAAGTGCGTGCACCGACAACAATGGCCATTCGAGACGCCGCTGAGGTGTCGCCTTTTTTTTTGAGCTCACCTGCAATATAACTGGTCCTGTGCGCGCGAATAGGCAGTTTGGGCAGCTAAAGTACGAGCTAATAGATAAGCTTGAAAGCAAGAAGTTCACGCTTCCCCAAATGCGCGAATTGGTTATTTGTGTTCTTGCGTATCCTAAAGCTCTTTTAATTGATTAACACCACCATTTTCATATACTCTAGACGTCTGAGGATTTGGGCCACCTCGTTAGGCACGTTCAAGCAGGTTTGCCAAATTACGGTTGCTTAGCGCTTGTTGGATAATTCCGGTCGCTAGGGCCTATTTTAAAAAAGTATGTCTCGTACATCCCGCACCTCAATATCAAATCTCTCGTTCAAGTATAATTTTTATCAAACAAGTGATATCGTTGTCTTTTAACACCTGTTGGTGGTTAAGCCTATAACCAGGACGATTCTTCGGGTGGAGTTGCGCATTACCCCTTGCTTTCAATGGAATGACACGTGGCACAGTCCGGGTTACGTTATGTACACCGCTTCTTGAAAGTGCATATCACTAAAGCACATGCTTTAGGAGAACCGTGGTGGATCCTTGTCGAGGATCCATCGACCGACCACCTATACCACACGGAATACGTTGTTATTCACAAAAAAAATCGACATGACACCCAACAGTTAGGTTTGCACAATTACTATGCAACAACCGTTATTCTAACCGAATCATTGTCGTCCTCTTGCGGTTTTGTAGTGTTTACTGTCCCTCTCTTTGAGCCACTCTCCTCACAGTACTACGTTAGAGCCGTCTCAGAGAAGTGATACTACTTAACTTGTAAGTATAGGAAATTTTATTAAATTATATAAAAAGATGGCTTGGCGCACTGGTCGTAGAGGAGCTCAAACTTGACAGACTGAGGGTTTAAGTTTGGCCCATATTTTTATTAATATTTTATCGACGTTGTTTCCATGCCAGCTGCCGCTGCAGTACCAGGCTCACACCCCTCTTTTGAACTTGTGCCCACTTCCCATATCGGCTTTACAAAATATTCGTTATCAGGCGATGTATAAGTTCCAATTTTTTAACCCAGTAAGTATATTAAGAACGCTCAGTCGTATTGACCTTTTGATGAAGTTCTTCAGTTGCAAACACAGTTTTTCCATACTGTTTATCACACGGACGAAAACATACTTATCGGTATGAATCCAATTGGTTTTGCTAATAAAGACTGAAGAGACATAATTTAAGGTGCTCCAACGGGGTCTGGTAAAACTGTCGCCGCTGAGCTGGCCCTATTCCGCCTGTTTAATAACTGCCCCGGCTGTAAGGTCACTCATGGGACGACGAAGTGGCTAATGTATCAATAATTACTTCCAACAGGCGGTTTATATTGCTCCGCTAAAGGCACTTGTTAAAGAAAGAGTAATCAATTGGAGCCAACGCTTGGTGAGGTGCACTGATAAAGTTATAGTAGAGCTTACCGGAGATGTTTCGCCCGACCTGGTGGTATATCTTATTTGCCAATTTAGAGAGTTGCGGCGTCCAAGAGCTAAATGGTAGGCCATTGAAAGAGCAGACTTGATCGTGACTACCCCTGAAAAATGGGACGGTGTCAGCCGCAGCTGGCAGAGTCGCTCTTACGTAAAAAAAGTTGCTTTAATCATCATCGATGAGGTTCTTCTAAGCCACGTGCGCAACTTTTTTAGAGAAATGATAAATATTTGTTATGCATAGATTCACATGCTGGGGGAGGAGCGGGGCCCCGTCCTTGAGATCATTGTGTCCCGCTTTAACTATATAAGCTTTCAGCTGCATAAGAAGGTTATCCTTACTTTAATAACAATAACAATAATAATATACTTTGCAGATTCGATTTGTCGGCTTGTCCACGGCTTTGGCCAATGCGCACGACTTAGCGCACTGGCTGGGAGTAAAAAATTCACGAGGTTTTTTTTTATCCGTGACTTCCACCACCTGACTTAACTGATTGTGCTGAGGGCTTTACAACTTTCGTCCCTCTGTTCGCCCTGTCCCACTTGAGGTTGCGCTTTAATCATTATTTTCGGGTTTTTCTATAATAATTTCTTTTTTAAGGTCCATATTGAGGGTTTTCCAGGTGCAAGGCCATCCAACTAACCGAAATACTCATCTTTTACCATAACATGCCAGGCAGGCATTACTGCCCCCGTATGGCGACGATGAACCGCCCGACTTACGCTGCTATACTGACCCATTCTCGCGGGCAACCGACCCTGGTCTTCGTTTCCTCCAGGAGGCAGACCAGGTGACCTCCAATTCTTATTGGCTGCTTTGGTGTTTTTGACTTTCCTTTGTACAGGCTAACTGCGTTGGACCTGATTTCTTTCTCAGTCGCTGATGACCGCCCCAAACAATTTTGTATTAATAACAGCAGCATTTCCTCTCCTTTACGCAGGAGTTCTGTGTACCTTTATCCTTTTTAGTGACTATCAATGAAAAACGGCTAGAAAGTCTTCTTCAAAACATCGTGGATACGACCTTGCGGCACACTCTCAGTTTTGGTGTCGGCCTGCACCATGCGGGATTGGTCGAAGGTCTCACCCGGCAATATAGTTGTCGGTGCGCACTTATTGGCACTAATTATAACGAACAGGCGATAGGAGGATAGTCGAAGAATTATTTTGTGAACAGCGTATATTAGTCTTAGTGGCGACCGCAACTCTAGCGTGGGGCGTCAACCTGCCTGCGCACTTGGTGGTTGTCAAAGGCAACGCAGTCTTGCTTGGTTTTGCTTTTATACCTCTTAATGAGTTTGCACGGCTACTTTCAAGGCACCGAATTCTTCGATGCCAAGACGAAGAAATACAAGGACTTTCCTGTAACCGACGTGTTGCAGATGATGGGCAGAGCCGGCCGTCCCCAGTTTGACGAGTCAGCAACGGTGTGCTTTTTCTTCCTTTTACTCTCATGATGTCGCCGCTGCTCATTTCCTCCATTTTCCAGGCCGTAATTCTTGTGCACGATACTAAAAAGCACTTTTATAAAAAGTTTTTGTATGAGCCGTTTCCTGTGGAATCGAAGTTGGCCGATGTGTTGGCCGACCACCTGAACGCGGGTACCTTCTACCTTCTTGCGCTATTTCTGGCACACATGCTTGCCTCATGTCTTTCTTGAAGAGATTGTGTCCGGATCCGTCTTTAGCAAGCAGTCTGCTGTAGAGTTTTTAACTTGGACGTATTTCTTCCGAAGACTTGCGCAGAATCCCAGCTTCTACGGGCTAGAGAGAGTTGGTATATCTAGTTTGCTTCCATATAAAGCGAATTTATATGATCAGATTTCGTTACCAGACCAAAAAAATATGAACTATTATTTATCGAAACTTATTCAAAACACTATTGCAGCGCTACAGGAGGCCGACTGCTGCGTGGTTAACGAGAACGACAGTCAGTTTTCCGCCTTTCTCACTTTTCCATGACTCCTTATCTTCTCCTAATTGACTCTTCAGCGATTACTCCAACGACTTTGGGCGCCATTGCTTCATTCTATTATTTGAAACACTCGACAGTGGGAATGCTTTCCAAAGCTCTCGTTGATAAGTTGCAGCATTCTGATTTACTCAGAATCATGAGTAACGCCAGTGAATTTGCCGAAGTACAACATACTAACACTGCTAGTCTCGTAAAGCAGCCCGTCATCATAGCTTGCAGGTCCCCGTCCGGCACAATGAGGAGCATTTCAACGCACAGCTGGCGGCGGTATTGCCTTGGAAAGTTGGCAAGGACTCCTACGACAGGCATGCTCTGCCCGGTCGCAAAAGCTTGGAAGTTTCTTAATACCTTTTTTTTTCTCTGCAGTCCCCACACAAAGGCAAATCTTTTGCTGCAAGCTCGGTTCGAAAGGTGTGAGCTTCCGGTGGTTGACTACCAAACCGATACCAAAACAGTACTGGATCAAACCTTTCGAGTGCTTCAGGTGCACTTGCCCAACCCGCATAGTCTTTTGCTGCTCTGTTGAGCGTTTTTAACTTATTCAAGGCGATGATCGATATTGCAAGTGGCGGCGGCTACTTTGTTTCTACTCATTCACTGGTTGGGTTGCTGCAGATGGTTGTGCAGGTGCAGATTTATTTAATTTTGGGTCTATCTCTGCAGCTTCTGAAGCACCTATATTTATAGGCTCGGTGGATTCACGAAAACAGTCTTCTGACCATCCCCGGAGTGGAAGAGTCTCACTTGCCAAGCATCATGCACATGATTGGTGCTGCAGGCAATGCCTGCCAAAGCCCCGTAGTTTCCGATGGTCTCCTTAGGGAACTTTGCAAGTTCTACCAAGCAAATGACAAGTCACGAGTCACGGCTACACTTCAAGGTCTCGTAGGCCCTCGTGTTTCGCTAAAAGTTGTTTTAATCTTTTCTTGCCGAGCTCCTTCTTAAATTTTTCTTTCGGCAGATCACCGAGTTTGTGGAAGGGCTCCCCGCTATGGAACTGACGGCTATATTGTGCGAGGTACCCCATCTCACACGTAGTTTTCAGATCGATCTTTCTTTACGCCCGATCCGCGCAACTTGCAGGACTCCATAGACGAGCCACTGCGTTTTCAGAAGGAGTATGTTTTGAAGGTGTTTCTGATAAATAAAAACAAAAAGGCATGTTATTCAGCCGCTCCCATGCTCTTTTGCACACTAATGTGAAGTACAGAGTCTGGACACTATTCGACCCTACCAGTGGCCTCGTGACGTTCCCGTCCAGTGGATTCTGGTTCTTCAGTGTTAGCATAATTGGCCCTGTGCATGACTTTTCCCTTCTTCTGAAATACCACTCGTACTCATTTCAGATGTGCAAGGCGATGCGTTGCTGGCAATGAAGCGAATCAAGCACGTCCGCAGTAAGTTTCGTACACGTCTGTCTGGTGGCGAGTAAACCCACTGATGCTTGAATGTAGACAAAACAACAATTGCTTTAGCGTTCTCCATTCCACGTTTAACCGGTGTAGAATTGGGACGGATTACCATTCAAGCCCACCTGTTTAGCACATGCTTTCTGGGACTCAACGCATGTATAGCAATGAACTTTTTAATAAACTAACGAGGTTTTCAGTGTTTTCTTTATTGCATATTCTGGCCGCCTGTAGCCAAAATTCCGCGGGCAGCCCGCAAAAGAGTATCGGCGCCAGCCTCTAACATTTTCTGAGCGATGTACTGCCCTGCAAGAGCGCGTGAGTACAATGCTCTCATAAAAGAAGTGCATGCTACCGAGCTTCTCCGCGTCCTCCCTCGTATGCATGGCGACAGTCGCCCTGTAAGTCACCCTCTGGTTGTCCTCAACGCTAAAACACGCAGCCTCGAGTACGGCAGACTGCCTTCCTTGCGAATCTTTTTTTATAGTACTCTAAAGAGATAGTCTTAAGCGAGTTCACAGATTGTAATTACGCCATTTTACACCAATGGGTGTGCTGCAGCCTCCTTGAAGGTGAAGCATCAAAGCGCGCTCCGCCAAACAGCAAAGCTCCGTTTCCCTATCGTTGATGATGGACACAAGTCCTCCAGTGGCATCATCATCTATTTAAAGTTGAAGGGGCAGCCCCACGATTAATTAATTTACCATACCGCTTCTTATTTCAACCGCGAGCGCGCCTTGACCGACTGCGTAGAAGAACTCATCGCCATTCTAATTCAAGTAAGCTTTTAAAAATTATGAAGACTAGGCCATAAAACTACACTTAGTACCAGAATCTGGCCAATCCGATCTTGCCAACCCATTCGATCAACTCCCGCTACAGCAGATAGGACCAATAAAGTGGGCTAAATAATACGAAATATATACCTTTGGCTAAAATTATTGCATCGTACTTGTCACATTCACAAAGTTTTTTCAGTCGTGTGTTAACATTTCCTTTAAGTTAAATTGTGTTGATGTAGAAAGAATATTCAAGTATTTTTATAAATTTAATTTTAAAACCTCTTATATCCAAAAAAATAAGTTGAGGGTATAATTGCTTTAACTGGGAAATCCGCCTTATTGAACTCGAACCTACACAAAATATAAAAAAATTTAAACTGTTAACTGTCTTAAAAGGAGTTACTAGAAACAATATTCTCTATACCTACAGTGGAATTATTCGGCAGAGAATTCAGGGAGGTGGGAGTTACGTTACTACCAAACTTGGGGTGGTATAAAACACAATCATGGGGATCATCGCGCTTGCAAATAGCTCCTATCCTTAAATTTTTCTTACATATAATAAATTTTAAAACTGCCTACAACAAAATTTAGTTTTACAGGTAGACTGGATGGAAGATCTTTTAAAGAATGAACAACAAGATCTACTTCCCTTCTTTGCAGGGCCAGTTCAAGTTCTTATATAGATTATAAAAAATATATTAAATAATAAAATATTAAAAAAAAACCTTTAGTAAACAATGACTTTTCTCCTATTTTAGGTAAGGGAAGACTGTTAAATTTATCTCCAAGGGTATCATATGTAACTACTTCGAATATTTTCTTAATTAAAAAAATTAATTATTATATATATTTAATATGAGATGAGGCGAAGGAATTTAAAACCTCCGGATAGTGAAACTTTAGCAAGTCAATAACTTTATTAGTTTGAACAAGAGCAAGTTCGCTTTTTCTGCTACCAACGCGAACTACGCTCATTACCTTGAAGTATTAAATAAATAACACACAAAGGCCGGTAGGTCGTCCTACTGTAAGAACAGAACTGCCTTGCCCTACAACCTGCGCTTCTTTTAACCGTTCTGTTTTACCTGAGCTTTCAAAGTTTTAAGTATTAGCAAGAAAAGATAATGAAGCTAGTAAAATATTTTAAAATATACCGAGGAAAATTTGAGGTCTCAACTGCTCTCTACCTTTTAAACTCGAGGTTATTATTATACACGTCTTCAACCTTGAAAGTTTTTACTGTTATCTAAAATATAAACTTTAACTAAACAGAGAAAAGTTTGGGGCTTATACTGCGCTTCTACTAATGTTTTTCTCCTTCATATACTATATGTATTCTCTATCGGCCTACTTAATCTTTCTATCAACTATGATGATTTTGTGGGCAGTTGTTAAAGACTGGAAAAAGCTTTCTCGTCTGTCTAATTCCCAACTTTTGGATTGCTCTTTTGGAGCAGTTAATTAAGGCAATAAATAGTTTTTTTCTATTATTACGGGCTATCAAGTGAAATTTCGGTGAGTTACACCATCTTATTATAACTCAACAATAACCTATATAATATCAAAAATAGGTAAAGATTCTAATCAAACCTAGTTTTGAATATCAGTTGTACAGACTATAAAGACTATTAACTCTTCTTTTTCTAGACTTTGGGAGTATATATAGCAAGTTTTTTCTGGTTATATCAACTCTAGATGATTTTATGCTCTTAACTAACTATAGTTAAAGTTTTAAATGTTGCTATTTTGAGTGAAGACTGTAGATTGTGAATTCTTTATACTACTTAAGGTCTCCACTATCTGGTAAAAGTAACACTGCAACTTTAACTTAATGAAAATCTTTAAATACGTTTTCATTCGTTAGTGCAGTAAAAATTCTCCAAGTTTACGGTAGGATACCCAGGCTGTTGGCTATAATTTACTTATGGACTTATCTTAGACTACTGTTTTTTACTAGGCGATTGATTTTAAAAAGGAAAGTAGGAGATTAAGGTCTCTATGTTTAATAAATGCTTAGTTTAAAAGTTTCGAGGATTTAATTTAAAAAAACCTATATAGTTTGGTATAGCGCCTGGGATACAAGACGGGGTTAATTCTATAGCGAATCCCCCGGTTTTATTAAGGCATACGTTTAATTAACTCTATTCTTTGGTTAATTCTTACCTGAAGCCTTTATTGCGTAATATGACCATAATAAAGATTTTAGACACTATAATAAGTTAGTGGAAAAGCACTAAAAAGCTTTATAAACTTGCTTAATGAAATAATTTAAAAGGAATGACGCTATTCAATTAAGTTATAAGATTGATACACATATTATACGCTGGTATAACAATAGGATGGCGACGAAAAGTTTAAGTACGTAATGAAGCCTAACTAACTCTGTGTTCACGCTTGAAAAATTATTAGATTTTCTCTAAGTATGAAAGTAAATTTTTCTTGGCATGTTTCAGTAACTTGAAAACAAACATTTCTAGGGTATGTGCAAAGCATTAAGGTAGTTTCTTTTTAACACTACGGGAAATAGAAAGGGTAATCATTCTATCGTACAGTTACAGACTTAAAGAGGCAGACAATTATAAAAAGATAAATTTTAAGTTTTGAAGTATAGTTTTCTTGGTTATTAAACTTAGTATAGTTTTATAAAAAAATATAAATTTTTAAAGCTTTTGTAAGTCTCTAAAATCTCTCTGCCTATTACTTTCCTAGCCACCAAAGTGTTTTTAAACTTTGTTTTATAAAAAAGCTCATCAAGCCCAGCCAGGCATCTATAACGGTATTGCGATTAGTCCTCTCCCGATGTTTCTGACAAGAAGATGATCTTACAACAGAACAATATACCGTTTATAATCAATAGATATTAACTATTTGAACAAGAAATACGACAGAATTTATTTTGTTATAAATCTAACCAACCACGAATTAATATATACTTTTTATACTTGTTTTGAAAGTATTGATCCACAGGCTAAGAAACAGTGTTAGTACATTTTATAAATTAATATGTAATTTAGGCGAAAAACCAAGATAATTATCGCTAATTTGTATAATGAACGAAATTTTCATAACATATATAGCAGTGTAGACCTCTGGAATGTAATTCTCACAGTGCACTACTAAGTAAGAAAATATATATCAGTAAGGTTTATTTTAACGGCACAATACTAAATTGTAAGTAGCTGTACTCTCTAGTATGTTGTTTGCTAGTTAAGAGAGTGCTCTCGTCTAAATAAATCCTTAGCCGTTCTCGGATATAAATTTCTTTATTATGACTGTTAGGGCAGCTTTAAAATTAGCGTATAAAGGTTTTATAAACATTGCAAGAGATGCGGAAACAAAAATAATTACGAAGCTAACTGCTTTGAAAAATCAGTCAGTTGGATACTTCCTTTCATCCGAATACCTAACCCTCCATCACTGTTATACAACATCTTAGCGATACGTTACAAAGTTGTAAATGTTAAATGGTCCATTCGGGGAAGTGTTCCGCTGATAACAAAGATATCTATATCTTCGCAATGCATTAACTCCTACTACTCGTATATTTTTTTTGTACACTCTCCGCATTCCATAACATTATATCATGTATGATTAAGAGTTTAAAAATTAAAAGACAAAAAATAAATTCCAAGCCTTTCGCGGTCTCGAGAGTGGTCGAGAAATAGGTCGTCAAAATAACTCAAAGTTGATCGATTTCCATCGCTTTTCTTGTTGTTGAGAAACTGTCTGCGTTATCAATGTAAGATTATGCGTAGGGGGCGATGGTGAAATCGCTCTCAGGCGGGAAGCATAGGATATAGAAGCAAGAGCTTGCCAACCACATAGCCAAAGATAGTTGGAATATTGTTCCTATATATCTTCAAAGCATATTAAGTCACTTAGGATTAAAATCGATAGGAATTACAAAGGTTGTATTTTTTTTTAAAGGTTTCTCACAAATACATGGGGCGGACTACGTACACCTTCTCCGTAGTAACTAATAAAACTACTCGACATTTAAAAGGTTATAGCCCGTAAATATGGAAAAAACAGTTGCAACTCTATTTTAAAACACATCTGTGAATGCTGATCTTGATGTTAAAATAATGGTTAAATTTTTAATAAATTGTAATCTTATGGGTAATAAGAATTTAGAAGGAAAGTGTCTGTCATTTAGTCTCTCTATGGAGCTTTATTAGCCGATTTTCTATGATTTAAATTTTTATAGACTAATTTAGTACAATCACACGTTGAACTATGCATACTTTTTAAACGCATTGGTAATTTTAAGTTTATTATAGTGATATACGTAGTTGCCTTAAGGGTTTTATGCAATGGGTTTTAAAAGGAAAGAAAGTTAACAAGGTTTTTTGTTTTAACTGTTAAAAGATGAATAAGGGTACGTTTATTGGATTCATGTTGCCAAGATGACTCTACCATTTGTAAAAAATAGAAAAAGTATAATAAGCTAGAGGCTAAAAGTTACAAATGCTTCATGAGTATTGTGGAATTAAAGAAACCAATTAAAATTACCTTTACTTAATCTTATAATTAATTAGTTAACTCACTTTAATACGGTCAAACGGCTGCAGATCAACACCGGTACTCTGCGAACAACTAATTATACTAAAATTTAGGCAGAGAAGATGAAAAAATTTAAGCTTAAATTTTACCTAACGTTGGCTTCATAGTATGACATGATAATAGGAGCCGCACTATATCAGAATTTATGAGGGCGAGATTAAATAAGCGACCAGCAAGGACCGAAAAAGAGGGTCGCGTCAAAGCTCTTAACCGCTGAGCTACGACGACGACTCCCAGTCCCGGTATGGTTTTACGTACTTAATTTGTTACACTACTTAGATAATTAAAGTAAAACACCCTATTATGCAAAAGGCAAACTGTTGCTGCGCTTTCTATGGCAGAAGCAGAATACATTTCGTTGGTATCTTATTTAACGGTTACTAAATGGTTCCAATATTTCTTATAGAAAGTCGGATTTCGTCAAAAACTTTTTTGAAGTATACATTTATAACCAACTTTGTCATTCATGTTGCTAACACACAACACGGAAAAAAGTTGTCAAGCCTTACGTTATCATTATGCTGAAAATATTTTTAAGAAAGGTTTGATTTCATTAACACATTATCCCACTACGGGAATAGTCGCTAACGAATTCACAGAGTTCAATTAAATAAATCATTCAAGTTTATAGAAAAAAAAATTTAAAAACCTTGATTTAGGATAAATTCATTGGACCCTAATTTTGTACTAATCTAAGGTTATTAAAAAGAACTAAATATTTAATTGCCTTTTAGTTTAACTGATTTTTAAAGATGGTGCGAATATGCACATACTATATACCTATTTAATAAGTAAAAAAGCTGTTACCCATATTACCTTTCTTTTCTTACGACTGCCAAGGCTGTTTCACACCTAGGCGTATAAGGGCGTTGGTCCTACAAGAGAGCGTTAGGGGGGGGGGGGGTTAGCTTAAGATTTGAAGGCAAAACTTAACGGTTCAAAACGTTTATTTTTAACTAGCATTTTAAAAAAAAAAATGCGTGGTTTAATTTTAAAGAAAGAATTTGTAAAATACCAATACAAAGGTTCTATAATTATAACGCCTACAAGAAAATATATAGGTAAACGAGGAACAACAATATATATACTAAATTGCTTAAATTGCACTTAAACGCCGTACAGCAGAACTCCACAGAAGATAACTTCCCACATATGTGAATAGTATTACTGATGTTGTAAGGTTTTCATAATAATATGAAGACGTAAATATACAAGTTATGTTACATATGTTTTAACAAGTGCCAAAAAAAAAAAATCAAAACTTAAAAAAATATTATACAAAAAAATTCCATATTAAAAAAGGTCTAAAGTAACTTTCAGTAAAACATTTCATGCTATTAATTATAACTCTCCGCTTTATAATATAAACTACCTTGTAATAATTTTCCTCATGCTAAAAAATAGACAAGATAGTGGGGGTTGTGTGCGATTCATAATAATGTAGATAACGCAAGACCCATAACAAACCCAAAGACCATAAATGTTTACAAAATGATAACTTGCACTTTAATATAATAATTTGGGATTTTAAAGTCCATTAAGTTTTTTAAAGCTCAAGATTTCATATAATAGTTCTACTTTTGGTGAATGTTTAAAAATTCTGAATTAAGCAATACAAACCGTGCGAAAGTCGGTCATCGCCTTCAAAGTTATTTCACAAGCGTTATTTGAAAACTTTCTTCAAATGGAAGAATAGCAAGCTTGTGGGCATCTAAATTAAAAAAGTCAAAAGACAGAAAAATTCCAATTCAGAAAGTAAAATAATTAAAAAGAAATTTAGCTTTAAGACTAAATTTAGTTAAATTATATTACTTTAAATTGTTTTATCTGCAACCTATTTTTGTAATTTAAGGTAAAAAAATGACCGGTTAATTTGCAGTTTTATGAATGGCTGCTTTCCGTAATATGTAAACGAGATTAGTAAACATCCCTATATTTTTAATTTTTCTAAAATCAGTAGAGGAGCCTTACATGTAATATTAGAACAGCATTTTGATATTTGCTATTGAATACAGCTCCCCTTTTTTCTTATTAACTTGTATTTATTAAATTTTTTTGGATACTACATTGTTTTGGGAATTTATATTTTTATACGCTTATTTTGTATATTTGATATGGAGTTATCGCCTTGTGAAAAAGCTCTAATTGTTCCTGCTGCTTTGAAAAGTTTTAAGTAGGTGATATTATTATTTTTTTATTTGTTTATTTATTTTTATAAAGTTTAGAACTTGTTTGCGAGTTAAATACCGTTATGTATTACATTATTGAAGGAAAATATGTTGAATCTTCTCCTGTTTTCATTAGTCTTGTTAGAGACAAAAAAAATAATTTGTATAAAATTGCAGTTGTTTCGGAGAAGGTAAAGACAGCAAGTTAATTATATATATATTTTTTAATGTTTTTTAAGAATACTCTACATTTATTATTTATTAAAAATACTTATAATCTGTTACTTTCTATATACTTATTTATTACTGTTTTGAAATATATATTTTTTTGAATATTTTAATCTTTATTGGAAGGCCAAAATATTGTGGCACATTAGACTTCCTTGTACTTTAAAAAAACTTAAAAGCCCTAAAAAGAAACATGTTCTTTTCTCTTTTAAACCTGAAAATCCTCTTGACAGCACAGTAGAAATAAGGGGTTTCCAGTTTCTTAAGGGAGGCGCTGTTTCGAACTTTATAAAGCGAATAGGTTATATATTTACTAAATTTCAAATTTTTATGCACATTTTGAGAAATATATCTGATAATGTTTATTTTAAAGAAACTATAAACAAAATAAAGAATAACTCGCCTTCCGCCGAGCTTAACTCAAAGCTGCACACATGCGGTGGGCACACTACTTTTGTATTATCCTTAACTAAATTTAATTTTTTTGCTTACAGCATAGTTAATAATTTTATTTATTATAATTAGTAAAATATTATTTCTACTTTGTTAACTGCTTAGATAATAACAATAAAACGAATAAAGGTCCGTCTGTGAAGGAAGTTTCTTTTCCCAAAACTTTGAGATCTGTAAATTTTATTACAGTTGACCAGTTAAAAATAACTAATTTCCACGTTTATTTTGTAGAATTCCGTATTCTCTAGCCAGTCTGCTTTACGTAACTTAAGCCTCCCAGCGAAACCCAACTATCCATTAAGGTATCTGAATTAGATTTATTTTCGACTTCGATATTATTTTTTTTGAAGTTCTAAAAGGGTCACTTCGGTTGAAAATTTGACATTTTCGAAATCTCTTACCTCGAGCACTTCGCAAGGTTTAACGGTTGGTAGGAACCGTTCTTTGCCTGCGAAGGAGTCTATTGAGATCGTGACTGATCTGGAAAGGAGAAGGCTTATTAATCGCCTTAACATTGAAACAGCCCAGTACCATAGAAAGCTTAAAGAGTTGGAACTACAAAATAGTAAAGTTTTACGAGAAAGAAATACTTATCTGGAGCAACAAAGGATCGAAAAGGAGTTAGAAATTCTAAAGCAGACTCAACTTTTGCAAGAGGAGCTTGAAAAACAAAAGAAATCTTTAGAAGAAATTCAGCGTGTTCAACTAGCGAAGCACCAAGAGCTTATTGAACTCGCTCGTAAAGAAACTGAGCGTTTAGTAGAGCAGCGGAATGAACTTGAGAAGAAGCTAAAAGAGGAGACTTTTAAGCATAAACAAGCATTGGAAGAAGAGAAATTAAAATTAACTATTGCTGCCCAGCAAGTTAATACCAGTAAGATTCTTGAGTCTAGAACTTTGCTTAAGCCGGTAGATCACCTGGAAAAAGGCGAGGTAAGCGTTACTCCCGACTTATCGTTGAAGTTATCCGACCCATCTGCTCCATCTTCCCCGTCAACCTCAGAACCGTCTTATAAACTTCTTCCAAAGCTTTGTTTTAGCGCTGAAGATTTGACAGAAGGCTCTAAAAACTTAAAAAAACGCGAGATTCTGCTTCCTGCAGAGGGTGATTCTTTAGCCGCTTTAAAAGTTGATGGAAACCCGCTGGCAGCCCTTTTACAGGCTTTAGATAAAAGAGCCTCTGTTTTGCACGACGTGGATGATGTTGACGATTTTTTAGATAACTGGGAGTGAGTATATTATTAAAATATTAAGTTGGTTAATAACTTTCGCCCCTTTAGAAGTAAGCAAGCTGTAAAGTAGTAAGAAAACTTATATTTTGTATATAAATAACAATAAAGCAATTTTTACACCATTGATAACGTTATTTGGGTTTCTATTGATTTTAAGAGGGCTGTAGGTTTAATCCAAGTTAGTTACAGGTTTAGCCTTGTACAAAGTAAGTCATAATTTAAAAACGACACGAGTATTGTCGTTTGCTTTGTGGTACTCACAACTCTTGCAATTGTTAAATTTTTTCCTCGCCAAGAAAATACTTAATGGTGTTTCATCACTTTTGCTTCTAAGGCTTCTTCTAGCTCTCTAGTAAATTGTTATGCTAAAAGGAGTCTAGTCCGGTTAATCAACCATTTATTAAGATCGACGGATTTACTTTTAAAGTTTGGGGCTTCAACTCTAGTCTTAAACAAACCGTTTCTTTAACCAAATTTGTTTGATATTTCCAAATAAAGGGTATTGACTCTTTTCCCTTATCTTTGTTTATAAGTTTATATGGGAAATTACAGTTAAGTTTAGTGGTGATAAAAACACATTACTTTTATGCAGGTTAAAATATATTTAGGATACGGTTTTTTTTTTTGTTTCAAGGCGCTAAGGCGGTGCCTGCAAGCAACATTTTTCGTAACATCTTTAAAATGTCATGACTCTATTACAACTGTTAGCTCTCAATTCATACAAGTATAAAGACTTTCGAAAAAAAGCCAACGTTGTTTATTTTAGTTAAAAAATAAGCACTACTTCTTAAAGAAAAGGCTTACTAAGCATTTTCCGCAGCTAAACAATTACAAGTTGTAAACTAACTTAAATTCGGTAAAGCTTTGCATTCCTCCTCCCATTATAGCTGAATAGCAAGTAGAACTTTACTGTCTGAAAGTTAAGTTGCGAGTAACCGTAGCGCTATAACAACTAATAGTTAACCATAGTTGTTGTTACCCTCAAAAACTAAGTAAATTATTTTTTAAAAGGATTTATCTAAAAACTAAATCATGTCGGGGAACCGAAGTAAAGCGCTGGTCGTCTTCTGCGGAATTATACTAATGACACATTGATGCTAGAGAAACAACAGTAAGCAATACTCCACAGCTATAAAATTTGGGTTTTACGTAATAATATAGTTCAACTAAAATATTTATTAAACTACAGATGCCGAAATAGAAGAGTTTCCAAGTGGTGCGCATTGAATCAACTATAATAATTTTAAAGGAAAAGGCTCGTTCAAATAGTAGGAATTACTCTCTTTATTTCACTTGAGAGCGGGTCAAGCCAGTCGTAACCCCTGCAGGGCTAATATATATATATATTCTAAAAAAACTGCTGGAAAAGGTTATACGTTTCTCTAAAAGCTGCATTTGAGTTTGAGAAGCGGGTAATGGCTTGCACTAAGTCCAGACAAGTGAGCTCAAAGCTTTCTTAAAAAATAAACAATTCTTCATGCAAAGAGCACCAGAGTTAAACTAGAATGCTAATAAACCTGTAAACTCTGACCGTTGAGCCAAGTGCGTTACACCACCAAGCAATCTTTTTACTAAAGTCCAAGAAAGACGAGGAGCGCACAGACCCTACAAAGAAAAAGTGCCAAGGATGCGCAGAGAAAGGACGGGCGACTTGTACTTTACTTTTCTGCAGGTTAACTCAGAGTCGCTGAGAAAACACGCGAGGAACTTACAGGCATCTTCTACAAAGCCAAAGTCTAAGTGTATACGTATAAGTTCCTCGTAAAGATTGTGCTTCTGCGGGAGCGAACGAGACTGAGAAAAGGCAAACTTTTTTTTCTAATTTTATAAAAAGTGCCTTAAACGCTTCTATGAGCCAAGTCTCAGCAGGGTGGTTCTCTGTAAACAGGCGGCTAAGTACAATAGAATGGTAAAAGTAGTTGGTATCGGGGCTGTCTAAGCGCTGGAGGTAAGACTATAAAAGGGAGGGGGCTGCGGATGAGACCACCAACACACACAGGCTCGAGAAAAGTTACTTTTAACAAAGCCCACGCACGAGCAGAAGGATCGTGAATGATCAATTCCTTCCCATCCTCGTCCGTAATCTGGTTGTGGTTTAACCAAAACAAGTCCCTATCGTCTCTAAAGTAACGGAAAAAAGAACGTAAACTGCTGAGAGGCGGAATAAAAAGTTGCTTGTACAATTTTTTCTTAGAAGTAAAGCTGATCCTTATGCAATCGGAAGCGAGCGTTTGAAAAAGCGAACTCAGCGGAAGGTCAGGAGCGTTATAGTCGGGGCTGCCGACCCATCGGGCCAGAGCGACTGCTTCGTCATAGAGTCCAAAATGTTCAAGCAAAGAGAAAGTTGCTTGAAAACCAGCTCCTAACGTTGCTAAGTCACATGGCCAGCACACAAAGAGGGGGAAAAAAACACCTTCCAAGTCGGGAATATGGTAGTCCTGCTGTAAAAGATGAGACTTAGCTAACAACAAATAGTACTTTCTTTGAAGTTTTTCAAGGGAGACCAAAACTTTTTATATATAAAAAAGAATGAGTGTTAGGATGAGGAAAAAAGCACTGAAAGCAGCACTAATAACCGTGCTTATCAGAATCGTAGAGCCACTGCTCCTGGTCTTCTAACTGGTGCAAAGCGTTCATGCAAAGGGACAACGCTTTCAAACGCTCATGCTGAGAAAACCCACACTATAAAATTTTAAAAAAAATAGAAAATAATATAATACTAGTCTCTGGCGATCCGAGAGGCTGCTTGGACTGTTTTTTTCGAGTGATTCTTCGTGTCTGAGCATCTCCAGAGCGGCTGTTTCATAATAAGTTGTAAAAAAAAGAGGCCAAAAATAATAAGAAAACGCAGCAGACCAGTTTTATAGTCCATGCGTAAAAGATAATGGGAATAAACAAACTCCTCAAACTTCTCAAGAAGCACGTGGAGAGAGGTTCTCCATGACTTCAGTATCTGTGCGAAGCAGAAATTAAACATAAAAGAGTCCGGAAACTACAGAAGAAGTACAAACAGTATCAAACAAATGAGGTGCACTGAGAATAAAATGTTTCAGCTCCGCTCCACAACTTTTGCCCCACAAGTCGCATATAAACGTGGCGGCCCTACAGGAGTGCAGGACAGTAGTAGCGCCTCTCCATGAAGCAAGCGAAAACGTACATCTCGCTCAGCATGGGAGAGAGCACGAGTTCCTTACTGGCGAGCGTCAGGACTACGAAGGCCTCTTCGTGAGAGTTAGTTTCAAGCGCAGTCTTAAAAAAACTTTTAGCCCAAAACTGTAAAAACGACGAGGTCAGGAAAGTAAGGGGGGTGTTGATTGGGTTATCCACACCTCTTCATGGAAACAGCCACTCAGCTTGGCTGCTCGGCAGATCTCGAGTGCTTGAGCGAACTGCTGTTTTGTAGTTCCGGACTCAGGAAGGAGTCGCGTAAGAAGTGTAATGATTATAACCTTTCCTTTTTTGAAATAGTCGAAGCAAACTTTTAGATAGCGGCTCAAAGTAAGTTCTTCCTCGTTTTCGAAAAAGACAACAAACACATGGTTTAATGGACTCTCAGGTGGAAGGCGGCCCTGTTCGTCTGCAGGAACTAAAAGCGATATTCTAGAGGACCTTTGCAAGAAGAACCAATACCGAAGCAAGACGTGACGGAGACAAAAAGCGTCTGTGCCTGTTGATATTGTTCAGAAGCCAGGTGGCATAAAGACAGCTAACGTGGAAAGACACTGGTTCGAATAAGGAGACCAATAATAAGTAGAGTAAAAGAACCATGAAGACAGTGGCCTCATTTTTGTCTACCCAGAGAGTTAAAAAGTCCAACAAAGCAGCATGCTGGCCCCACTGCAGTAAAACTTTAGCAATGCGGGGTATACCCAGCGGATGGTATACGCTATAAGGTCACGTAGGAGCACAAAGGCTTGAATTACAAAAATGAAGCTAATACAACGCTGAGATTACGTCGCTGTAGCCCTTGAAGCAGTCCCAGCTGCCTGATACACCAAAGTCGCCTCGAAGGAGGCAGAGCTCGAGGCAGCTTGAAGGCAGATCTTTCCCGCTTTTTATCCATATTGACCAAAGCACATATGCCTAGTAGGTTTTAAAGATATACCCGGAGCCGCAGGAGAGCTGAGGTGCCCGGAAAGATAAGTAAGCAAGTTGGCCAAGATGGTGAAGGAGGCGGTGACAGCTCATGTAGTCGCCTCCTTATTTATATGCAGGAGTAAAAAGAGCAGCAGACAAGCGAAGCGCATGCGCCCACCCCTTTCAAAAAGTTTATCAGTGCGCACACGAGTATAGGCAAGTCCCACGTGGAAACACAGCATAAATCTATAGTCGAAAAAAAAAATAAACAGTTTAGGCGTTGAGACAGCGAGATGCACACCACGAGCGCAGTACCTGCAGCAAAGCATGTCTTTTAAGGCGCACACCAAGAAGTTGGCATGGAGGACGGAAGCTGGTTCAAGGTCCAAAGGAGGAGCTACACCGAAACAGTATAGAAAAAACGAATCAGATAATAGTATTAAACATCACGTGTTTGAAAAAGACCCACCGACGACCCACAAGTCTTCGATGACGTCCCTGAAGACCTCGAGGGAAAGCAGCTGCTGTTCAAAGCGGGGAAGACGGCCACTATAAATACGTATCAAAGAGCAACTCATTTCATAATAAACAGGACACGCACTCAAGTGCACGGAAAAAAGAGCCAGTCAGAGCAGACAATTCATTGTAGTTGCGGTGCCTTAGAATTATTAAGCCAAAGAGAAGTCTCTAAACGGGCAAATGCCAGGCGGGTAACATAGAACCGAACCATGAACAGGAAGCAGGAAACATCATCCCGAGACAACAATCAGCGCCCAAGTGCAGAAGGCGTTCAAAAGTGTCACGTGCCGGGCACATAACTTCAGACTTGACAAACCAATAAACAACTTGCAAAAAAAGAAAGCAACAAACTGCCAAAATATAAGGAACCACGAAAGTGTCTCTGAACTTCTCACTAAGTAAATCTTTCCGCTCTGCAAACTCGAGTGATCTTACTACAGACGCCGAAGACTGCAATACCCACAGAAAAGTCAAGTTTTTTTTTATGCGCTGTTCGCATATAACACTCACGGCAGTCATAAACCAAATTACAGGCTCCTCTTCGGCACGAGCGTCCACGTGAATCGATAGAGTGCTATCCCCTTTCTGCAGCGTAGTCAGCGCAGTAGAAGTATCGAAGACAAGGAGATCGCTAAGACTATTTAGCAGCGGAGAATACATAACAAAAAAAAAGTATAAGATAATTTTCTTACTTTTTTTTGAAATCAGAATCAATATTGACGCAAAAATTGCGGTTTCCTTCGCAGGCGAGCCACAACTTGCAAAGACGCTGGCCTCCACTTGACGCAAAAAAGGAAATCTTAAACGCGCTTAAAGGAGTCTAAAAGAGAGCAAAAGTCACGCAAAAGTTAAAGCAAGGAGCAGCTGCGCAGGAAATACAACGGTGACGGGCGTGCTAAATGACAGAACCGGGGAAGCCCCCATATGAAAGCTGTCGGGAGAGACGCAATACTCTGCACGGTAAAAGTCGAACTGGCCAGTCCCAACATAACGAAGTATCAATAAAAGAATGAATGGGGGTATCTATAAAAACTCACATAGATTTTCGAGGCGGAGTCATCGCTAAATGCTGCACAGCAGATAGCAGCGTCTTCATTCATGACGAGAAACTCACAACCAAAGAGTGCCACTTTTTCGTTTTCAACTATAAAAAAGTAAATCAGTAAAGATTTAATAAATGAAATAGGAAAAAAAAAAGTAAAGACCCGACTTAAGCTCCCTGCTTAGAAGCAGATGGCCACTACTATCCTCACTCTAATTATTAATAAGGGAATTAGTTATAATCTCAAAGACTATTTAAAAAATAAACATTTTTGTTAAGTTTCCAAACGAATAGACCATTCATAGAATCCGAAGCCACAAGGAACGTTACCGATCCGTTAGTTGAAAAAGAGAGAGAAGAAAGGCTAACCAGATCACGTGCCTGAAGGCTTCTAAGTGAACAAACCAATAAGACAAACCGACGAAGGGAGCAGTCGCGTCAACCTGTACGACCAGAAGCGCTGGGGTTGGAGAGGAAACTCATGTGCACTTATCGTTTCTGATTAATAAAAAATATATAAATAAATTTAAGTGAAGCGAATAAGCGTAGAGGAATTACTATTTATGGCTGTGTATAAAAAAAACTAAAAAGTTTATTTAAAAAAACATGCCATCAGAATGGAAAATAACGCGCTTCACTGTCCCATCTATAAATCCTTAACGTAATAAAAAAAATTAAAGCATAAATTAAACTATTTTTTTTACAATAAAGATAAATAGATAAAAAAACCGAAAAAGAAAAGAAAATGGCTAAGAGCCACACTGGAGGTGATAAGCGAGTTAAAAACTTTGCAAGAATCTAAATTGAAAAAATGCTAGATTTTAAAGTAAACAAAATTCAAAGAACAATTTTTTAAAAAAATAGTACGTGCTGAACAAGTGGAAGCTCGGCGTGCGGTGGAAATTTAATTTGAAAAAGAGAAGTAGAGTTGGACTCTACATCATGACAAACACCGAGCAAGGAGAAGCCTTAAAAAAAAGTTAAAATTAAAAAAAATGTTGAATGTGTGTAGTAAAAACCTGCGCTATCGTTGAAGGCACACACAGATTCAGGAGAGAGCATGAGATTATCGGTGAAAATAAAATCTGATTATAAAAAATATATGATATATACTTAAAACATATAAGAATGATGAGATAAAAAATTTTCAAATTTAATTTAAAACTTACTCTCAAAGAATAAATTTGAGAAATTATAAAATAAATAAAATTATAACCGAAGAACTAAATTTTCTTAATATATATAAAATCTTGTAATAGTTATAATCAACAAAAAATATGTGCCAATTCCTGAAATTAATATTAATATAAAAATAGTTATAAAACCTTGAAATATATTCTTTAAGAAATAATTAAGAATTATAAATTAAAAAAGTTAATTACTGTAACTTTTAAAAAAAAAAGGTTGATTATAAATATTAATATCGATAAAAATATAATTTATTAAAATAAATCGATAATAATATAATATAAGAAAAATTAAAAAAAGTTAGTAATCGCATGTGAGACGACTTTATATAACCTTTCATTCTTAACATTTAACATTAAAAAATTATCGTAATTTTTATAAATCTTTTTTTTTAAGTTTATACTACAACAAAAATAGTATTTAATTTTAATTATTTTTTGGAAGATTTATTTATAATAATATAAAATTATTCAATTCAGTTTTTTTTGGAATTTGAAATAATAATTCATATCCCCATAAATAATTCTTTACATTAAAATGAATTTTTTAAATCGAAACAAAGTGCAAATAACGATTCGTAAAGAATACCTTTTTACAATGAAAATTTAATGCTTTCAACTAAAACACGAATAATAACAATATTATAAGTCTATGAGTTATTACTATAATAAGTATAAAATCAAGGCAGAACAAAAAAGTGATAGGCTGTTAATATAGATTCTTACATTTCGACACATAAAAAAATTATATGGATCAATAGATGTATGCAAACCTTTGCAATGGTTTCTATAAAAACTTTTTTACTATAAATTAATGAAAAGAAAAGTTATATGAAGTAAAGTAAAATAAAAACTTTAAAAAATCTCAACATAGTTTAAAATTATTAAAAAGCACGCCAATAAAAATTCAAATAATATTATAAAAAATTCTTTTAAAAAAAATATAATTACAACAGAAATTATTCATAAACCAATAATGAAAGTTTGATAAAGAAATGATAGAAGTAGGTAAAAAAGAAAAAAGCGACTAACCCAAAAAAAATTACGTACATCCAAAAATTTTTTGCATAACTTTTAAAAATAAAAAAATTTAAAACAATAAAGTGTTCCAAACCAATTATATTATTAATATTAATACTCAAATACCAAATCTCTTATAGACTTATGAATAGTTTTTAACTTATAAACAACAATAATGTAAAGAAATTAAAAATACTTATAGAAAGGGAGTTGGATTAAATATCGGAAACAAAAGAAACCTTATTATATTTAAACCTTTATTTATGTGTCCCGAATTTTTGGTTGTTGAAAAAATATGGATGTCTAACCAAACGAATGACTTCCGCACTTCATCCTCACCAGTATAAAATCCTCTATTATAAATTATAAATTACCATGTAAGTTTGATAAATATCAGAAAAAAAATAAATGAATTCTAAATAATTTAAATTTTTTTTACCTTCTTATCCAAGCGAACAAAATAGCATTAATACCGAAAGCACTAACAACTATAGCCTTATCTATAATATGATTGTCGCTAGTTAACTTAATTAAAACCTCAGCCTAAACAAAAGTAATTAGAGGAATATCTACAAAATGGGAACAATAAGTTACTGAATCTAAAAATGAAACGGGAGCTTCGTATTTAGGAATGTACTTAGGATTAGTCCCATCTAATCCTCGAAGCACCTAAGAAGAAGTATTATTTTTAAATCCACCAAATTTACAAAATAATTATATGAAATTTTTAATAAATTTTTTTTAATAAGGAATAATATTTTTACATCGAGCTCAACAAGGGTGTACTGTTCTGAAGTCATTTAATTAAAAGGCTTCTAAGAGAACTAGTAGAAGGTCAGCTATGCTCAGAACAATTGTTGGTAGCGTGTTAAAAAGATGGTACAGAAAAAAACATGGGGGCTTGCACCTGACGAAAGTAGATCTGTTAACCTTGCAGAAATCTTTTATATTATTTTGAAATTTTATTTTTTGTAATAATAATTTACGAGAGAACCTAAACTGCTTTTTGTATAGCGAACTCCACTTACTGCTCTTGTCGCGAAACTACCATCTTTTCTAGTAGTTATTTCGTAAATTACTATATCCTCGTTAAGCCTATTGTAATGTTTTACTCATTGAGCTTGCTGAAAAATGGTTTGAAAGGCTATAATATTCTTAAATCCTTAAATTAAGACCTAAGAAAATATTTTTTATTCTTATGTCTAAAAATAAAGTTTATATTATAAGTGCAATCGATTCATTAAACCGCCAGGTGTTATTGAACAATGAAAGCTTTGATCACCTGAATATATTTTTTTATTATAAAGAAGGGAGTTCTATTTTCAGAGGCCTTGGGTTTAATATTTGGGGATACCTCTCACTATAGTGGTTTTTCAGTAGTTCTCCACCACCCTTATTTGATTCGCGAAAGTTAAATTAAGGGGAGGGTTGTATTAATACAAGGTAACAGTACCGAGCACTTGGACCTTATGCTTAGACTAAGTTCTCTGTGCCCAAAGACACTAAGCCTTTACAGAAGTAATTAATAATAAAAAACGCTTCACTTGAGCAGACAAGTTGTGTCGTTATTTTTCTCGATGTCGGTAAAGTTTTTGAGCGTTTATGGGATGATAACTACTAACTTAAACTTCTCAGTCGTCTGAAATTTAAATGCTACGTTTCTCTGCAGAGACACCTTTGAAAGAAAATTAACGGTTACGCTGTGGTATCACTGGCGACTAACAGCTGGCATAATGCAAAGCTCTGGTTAATCTCCCCCTGCTCTTCATGTTGTGTAAAAAAAAAACTTGTTTTGCGGTTTCTCGCAATCGCATCGCGCTCACGCTCTTGAAAGGGTCTCTCACAACTGGAAGAAACTTAAAATGCTACCCGGAAACACTCGCCGAGTTTTGCCGGCGGTGGGGACAAAACATTAAAATCTGGTAAAATTATGCACTCCATATCAAGATGCACTGCACTCTTTCATTTTTACCAGTCTGTAGGCGTCATTCCATTTTTTATAATCGCGTGGGCTCCTCTATTTAGTTTTTTATCTGTGTAAAGTTAATTAAGTTAATTATACCATGTAAATACTAATAAATCTCTCTAACACGTTAACTTTTTAATCATCGTAATAGAATACGATATATATGCACCTAATTTGTTTTAATATAACTAAAACTTGTTTGCGTTTGGTATGAAAACCATTTTTTTAATTTTTAATTAACATAAATTAAATAAAGTAAAACTCCTTGTACCACCTTTTTCTTTTGCATGAACTTATTTGCAATTTTTTAATCTTTGAGGTTAAGACGCGTAACCAATAAACTTCGTTAAGCAAAAACACATGGCCGTTTTTGCAAACTTTATTTACGGCTCTGGTGGAAGTCCGCCAACTTTGAGGAGGCTGGTTTTGGCTTGCGCCGCACCTTCGCTCCTCCTTTTATCGAAAAGGTTTTGGTTGGGCTCCTAGTCGTTCCTTTGTTTTTTTAAGGCTTTCTTACTTCTCTCCTTCTTTAATATCTCCTTATACTTTTTAAAAACTTGTTTTTTTTCGTTTGATGAGATCGCTCCTTGTGAATTGTTATAATTTTTAAATTGTAGCTTTTCACTTTAACCCTTAATACTATGCGTTTGGCTCAGGCTAAAAGCGCTGTCCATTTGTTTAAAGTAGATTTTTGTAATCGTTTTCTACTATAAATCAGTTAAACGATTTCGTACGATCTTATTCAAACGTTTATACTTATTCCCTTTTGTTATCTGCGCTATTATAACTTTAACATATTTTGCCTTGGAAAATCCTGTAGAGGTTATTGAATGTAAGCAGACCTATATTGGTTTGCTTGAAAGGTTCGTCCTTGTCATTTTATGTTCCTCACGGGTTCCACTTTTATTTTATCTATTGCCTTGTTTTATTTAACTTTTAAAAACTTTTTCGGGGGCGCAAAGGTTTCGTGCGGCGGCCTACCAATCCTTTTTCTATTTTACAACCACTCCCTTTTAGCTTCCTCTCCTTCTTGAACATTATCTGGAGGTTGTAATTCCATTAGTTTGTGAGGATTATCTTAACTTTTAAAATATTGCGAAGGTAACCTTAGCCACTTTTTTCTTTGTACTTTCTTTGCTGTCAATACTTTCTCAGCTGTTGTTTTAAAACTTACTATAGAATTTGTTTTGCAGCTTGTTAGTATCGTTCATTATATTATTAGACATGTTTCCCGCCACTATTTTTAAGTAAGTAGTGTAAGTTGATTATATATACTGAAAGCTAACGCCAGCAATTTTTTAATAATTTATCAATTTTAATTTATTTGGTCCAGTGCAATATATTCCTTAATTTAGTATTGAGATGAGCATATGGTTATCGCCTTCATTATTCTTGGGACTACTTTAGTTTTACCTATTTTCGCGTAACGTTTAAAATTTTTATAGCTTGCCGATATTAGAAAAATTTTAAGCGTTACGAAAATCTTTTTTTTGGAAGTATGCGTTGAAGTTTTTTTTCAATATTTCGAAGCCTCTTATAAATTTTTATATAACTGGGTACTTTTAATTTGTTAATTTCGCCGCGGCTCGTCTTTTTTTCACTTGATCTTCTAAGTTTAGACTATTTTTATTTTTTTTAGCTTTCTTTGCCATTTATATATATTCTCTTTTGCTTAGATTCTTTTTACTGGTTGGAGCATGCTTTTGGAAGAAAAATAAAAGCCTCTATTTCTTAAATTTTTATGACAGTAAAGTTATTTGCTTCTTATTAGTTTATAAAAGTATATTTTTAATTAAGGAACTGCCGCTTTCTTTATTTTAGTACAGTTTTTATACAACCGTTTAAAAGTTTATAAAGTTTATTACTAACTTGCGTTCCCGCGACTAGTAATTTATTTTTTTGGCTTTTTCGCGTAAGCGGTGGATGATCGGAGATAAGAATTAACTTAATGCAGAGCTCTGTTAGCTTTTTATCAGTTTTAAAATTGATGAGTCGGTTCCGTGCCACTTTTGCATAAGTAGAAGTATTTTAAAAGTCTAGAAAATCTGAACTTCGTTGCTTTGGGAGCTATAAATCCACTATAATATATGACACTTTTGTTAAGCATAACTTGTGAAGCCAAGCTTCGAATTTAACTTAAATGGTGGCTAGTTAGAAGTTAACTCGTTTTTCCTAAAATCAAACCAGTTCCAATAAGAAATTTCACGGATATTCACGTTTATATGCATTCTTAAAATCAAACTGTAACTAATTTAGGGCTTGAGGGTTGGCAGTAGCTTCTTTAGGTTATAGAGTATTTTTAAAAAAATTTTGCCTACATAAAGAAATGTTTGTTTAAATTAGCCCTAAAAACCTTATAACTGAGAATAATTGCCTTATAGGAAACTATGATAAACTCCTTCAGCAAACAAATTTACTCTTAGAACGAATGAAAGCGTGATATCATGCGTCGTGCCTAATATAGTATATGAGAAATTATAGCCTCACTACTTTTATATACCTATATTATTGCTATTGTAAAACTTTTACATGTCTATTTTTAAACTATTTTATAATAGTTTCCAATATTATATTAAGCGCGAAATACCACTATAACTCTTTATTAACTTTACCAAGTAGGCCGTACAGATTTACAACTGGATTACTTTATTTTAATGTTGTGTTTAAATTAAATTTTCCACCACTTGATAGATATCTTGTTTTTTAGAAGTTTGTCTAGTTTTTTGTAAAGCTACTTAGTCTAATAACTGTTGTAATATTTCTGCTCTAATTTTTATAGCCTGACTGGAAGTATTCATTTCACTTGAGTTTATCACGTATAAAGGAGATAGAAATTATACATTCAGAACATTAGATTAGCAGTAATACTCCTTCTTTTAAACGCAGAGAAAAAGAGGTGAGATGAAAAGCAATAAAAAAATATTCTATAAAGTAAAATTTCTGCTAAAAAAGAAATTGATAAGTAAAAGATATTTGTTAATATTAAGTGGTATGACGAAAGTTTTTGTTAAAATTAACAAATTTTTCTATAAAGAATAAAATTAGTTAAAACGACTGAGTAAAAAAAGTAGTAGCCTTGATTTTGAGTATTGCCCGCCATATTCTCCCTTTTGCACTATTTTAAAAACGCTCGAGTTTAGTATATATATATATATATATATATTTATAATTCAAGAACTTTTTCAAGATGGTGAGTTTAAGCTTACGAAATACGAAGGCGAGGTAAAGAGACTTTTATTATTAAAAAAGTTGACGATGGCATATCTGACTTAAAATTTCTTTTTTAGTATGAATATTTTTTGCATGTATGGAATTTACGAATATGAAAATCAACATTCTTTTTTTGTTCTTATTAAAAAAAATCTCAATAGCAGCATGCAGAATTATAATAGTACATAAAATTTTTTTTCATTAACAAGCACTACAGCTTGACGCAACTATTAATAAAATGTGCAATAGCATAAAACACTTTCTTCCGTTGAAGATTAATTTCTAGTAAAGCTTTGTTACAATTATGCAGGATTTAAATGGTCTTTCATAAAAAACTTTTATTATTTTATAACTTTTCATACATTTTTTTTTAAAACCTAAAAACTAATGTACATTCTATTAACTTTTTATACTTTTTTAAATATTTTTATTATTTATTTTGTTATAGTAAAATTATAATGCCCTTGTAGCTCTCTTAAGCTTTAAAATAGTTTCATAAAGCGAATGTTTCTATTTTTAAACTTAAAATTGTTTAATAAAAAAGCTCAAAAAAAAATTAACTTAATTAATTTCCAGTTAGTTTGCTACTTATAAGAAAAAATGAAAAATAATAATTAAAAATTTTTTTATTGTTCAGTATTGTCAAAACTACCAGATTCACTGGCTCTAGCAACCGCTGGAATGACCAATAAAACGTAAAAATCGGGATGCGTGCCTGCTTGAAGGACGCTTTCGTGGGCTGCGTTAGTAAGTTCAAAACTTAGTAAAACCTATAATAATAAATTAATAGCAGATTAATAGTAAAATAATAATAATGTAGTGATAATAAAAATATAAAGACATAAATAAAAGTAATTTATACCATAAAAAAATACATAAAAAAGTCAAAAGGGGAACTAAAAAAGTTCCTATTGTTAATATTTTCGTAATTATGATTAGTTTTTTTATTAAATTACAAGAGAATGTAAACAGTCAAGTAAGCCATAATGAAAATAAGACATTCAGCAGAAAGTCCCTAAGCCTCTTAGGTTTTCCTCAAAAAGGAAATTCTATTAAAAATGATTATTATTATTTTATAGATTATTATTACTATTATTAACTAATACTGTAAGCGGAGTAAAAGCAGAAGGTTCTTCGTGGTACAATAGTAAAAGAGAATAATATATATCCAATATCAATAAAGAAGTCCAAAGAGGTTCAAAACTAATGTTTATATAAATATATTTTTATTATTATTAAAATTTATTATTATCGGATAAAGAACATTAAGGCGTTTTCAAAAAGAATTTCGACTGCAGACTTCACGCTCTGGACTTTTATATAAAAGTTTTACTTCATATGATTATTAATATATAATTTTATAAGTTCCGACTTTCCCCATTCTTCAAAGTATATAGTCCTATAGAATAGTAATAATATATTATACAAAAATCTATTATAAAATACATACAACAATAAAGCAATGGAAATATAAATTTAGCAACAAAAAGCATTTGAGGGCCTCTTGATGCATAAAGCGCTACGCCCAATTGGTGACTTACAAATAATTGGATGAAATAAAAATAAATAGTTGATTAGTAAAAATGCATTATAAATGTAGCGAAGCAAACGTTATAGTAACAATTATATAATAATAATAGATGTCAAAAAATATTTATAAAATTTAAAAAAATAAAATAAAAAGCAGGTATATTCAAAATAAACAGATAATTATCATTAAAATAATAATCAATGGAAAATAATATAAAAAAAATTCAAAGTATTAAAATAGTTGGAAAAAAAAAAGTTTTATACTTTTCTAAAGATTACTGTTTTATAAAATTTTTTTTTTGCAGTAATTTTACTTAACAAATATTGAATCCTAAAAATATTAATAGTAAAAACTAAAAAAATCACAAAATATTATTCGTTACACAATAAAAATAATGATAAAAAAGGAAAAAAAACTGTTTTTTTAGTGCCAAAACGGCAAAAGTTTTGGCGCTCTCGTAGTTTTTAATGAAAATTTACGTCAAACGCTGATTGTTTATATGTCCGAACTGTTGGGGTTGAGCGCAGCTCCTTTAAATCATTATTTATTATTAATATCGTAATTATTATTACTTTTATTATTATTATCATTATTATAAATTTATTATGAAAATATTGTTATATAAAACAGTTGTAATATTAATTATATTATAAAAACAAAGTACTAATAAGAAACATTGTTATAAATATATCATATTATTATATTATATTTTGTATAACAAATTCCGGTTATGACGAAGATTTTATGTCTTAAATTATTATAAATATTAATTCTTATTAATAACAGAAAGTTATTTATAATAATATAAAATAATAAAGTAATAATTTTTGTTAAGAATAACAATAAGTTATTATTATTTTTAATTTTTCCGTTTTCTTTCTTTAAATGTGCCGCTCACCTGAATAGATATAGTCACTATTTATTATGATTATCATTATTATTAAAACTAACTATAGTACTTTATGATATTTTAATAAAAAAATTAAAAAAACTTGAAACTTTAAATTATATTTTAATTACAATAAAAAAAATTAAAATTAAAATATTTAACGCTTAAAAGTTTTTTTATAATAATAAAAAATATAATTTAAAATAGTAAATTTTTTTTTCTAGTTGCCATTCTAAACTCCACTTCGCGTAGTCTTATGATTTAACTATAGCGCTTTAATTATATATAACAAAAGGAAAATAGGAGTAAAACTCTTTTTAAAACTACTTGGCCCTATGCCCAAAAAATTATAATCTTTAAAGCAAGTGCATTATTAATGGTTTTAAGCGCTGCTTCGCGTACGAGCATATTAACATATTTCTTATTGATGTTGGTTTGCACGTGGTATGTATACGCAAATCTTCCAATCTAACTTTTAATTGAATGCGCCTTTATCCTTAATGTACCAATAGAGGCAATTTAGTTTAAACGCGCACAGCTAACACAGTAAAGAAATAAAAAATTTTCTTATAATTTAAAATAAAGCAACTGAAAAAAAGAGATTCTTTAATGTTTAACGGATATAATAATACTTTCTTTTAGTAAAAAAAATTAAAACAAAACAATAATAAATGCGAATATTAAAAAAAATTGTATAAAAATTAAATTCTTAAATAAGCAAAAAGAGTAATTTATTAGTTATAAAGTAATTATAAACTTACCAATTACAAAATATTCATATCTTCGATCTTTTAACTTAAATAATAATAATAGAAAATATAGTAATTTTTAGTTAAAAAATGAATACTTCAGAAAAAAAAGATAATGATATACTAAAAAGTTTTTTTTTCTGAGAGAAAAAACTCGTGAAAAGACATTATTATTATTATTATATTATCATTACCCTTATTATCGCTCTTATTATTATTAATATTATCGTTATTATTACACTTATTATAATGATTATAATTATTACTATTTAATAACCGAAAGTTTTATAAACGTTTTCGAATTCTTCAAAGTCAAAAGTTCTTTTAATAGCAATACAAAGGGCATAGTTTTCAGGCTCGTGTTGAAGCTCCTTCTGTTGATAATATTTTTTTTAATGAAGATAATTACTTTATCTTTTTAAATAAACATATCAAAATTTACAAGAAAAATAAAACTTGTTTACTATTTAATATAAAAACATCCTAAATCAAAATATTAATTTAAATTTTCAAACTTTAAAGAATAAAAGAATATATAAAAAATTTTTAAGGATTATAAATAATAAAAAAACTTTGGAAATATTTTGACTATAAATTAAAATATCATTTCTTTATAGTAGTAACAATAAAATATCATAACATAAAAACAAATTGAATAAGTAATAGTATTAAAAAAAATAGAAATTTCCAAAAAAATATTAACTAAAGTAGTAGCATCAAAAATTTTAATAAAAATAATAAACAAACGATAAAAAGTTAAAAAATAATATAAAATAATACTTATACTATTAATAAATAAATAAAAACTTTTAAAAAAATATAGGTTATTAATCGAAAGTGTATTTTCTACTAATAAAACATAAAAAAGAAGTAATAAAAAATATATTAAGAAAAAGTTAATTTTATAATAATAATAATATATAAATAAGAAATTTGAAAAATATCAAAAAAAAAGTATATTTATTAATATAATTAAAAAAAATAACTAGAAAAAGGCTAAAGTATATAAAGAAATAATTAAACTTATAAAAATAATTGTTACTAGATATATATTTTTACTTTGTAATTTTTACAAATTCTAAAAGACCTTAAAATAATATAAGTAGATGCTTTTTAAAATAAAAATGAAAAAATAATAAATTAAAATTAAAATTGTTTTTGTGGTTACTTCGAACTTATAGTTTTAAAATTAACTCTGTTCTGAAGATTTTAGAACTGTTTATAGTAAATTCAGTTCTGAGACTTTTTTTAAATAAAAAAGTAACATTATGATTAATTTTTATATAAATAAATGTTTGGTAAATTCCATAAATGGATAAGTAAAATATATACCTTTTTTATAAAATAATTTGCAAATTTTTTTAACGAATGCAAATTTATAAAAAGCAATTCAGTGGCTTTTCCAAACCATATTGTGTGATTGAGTAACTTAAAAAATAATAATAAAAAATAGTAATTCATTGCTTTAATTATAATTATATATATTATTGAAATCTTTATAAATTTTCAGCAATTAAAAAAAGTAATAAGTTTAGATCAAATTATTTTCTATAATATTTTTTAAGGCTGTCTCAATCTTATTAATTTTGCATTGGTAAAAGCAAATTTATGTATAAAAAGTTTAATAAATTCCATTTCGCGCCTAATAATATTTTCAATGAAAAATTAAAGCTTGTATTAATAATTAAATTTGAAAAACTAATAAAAAAAAAATAAACTTTCTCGATCTGTCTGAGCGTTATTAATAGTATGAATTTTATTGAATTAATAAAAGCATAAGCAAGAAAATCAACTTT